TAGAGCACTTATGTGATATTATTTTTTGTGTTTGTGAATTTTATATTCACAATTGACATCATGTATTCAATACATTGACAAATCGAGTCTTCATTCTCTTATGCTCGAGAAGCCAAATAGGCTACATTTTAGGACACCAGTAAGTTATATGAATTAAGTTACTCTCCGCAGTTACATCTTAAGCAGCATTTGTAAGAATTGTGATCTGATTAAACTTCCTTGGTTGAAGGTTCCTTTTGAGTGGATATAGACCACCTGACATAGGAAAAATAGGTCCTTCAGTGAGATGTTGAAAGCGATTACATGAGTTTTCTAATATTATCATTTCAACAGCCATGATGTACTTCTTCCAATGATTGTTTCTTCGTTTCCCCATATTACTATTACTATGTTTTGCTATTGTTGCTAGATCCCTGTTGCTTTTCTTCATCATCTTTGACTTGATATGTTGATACTTGATATTACTTTTGATTATTTGGAATATAATGAATGATGATTTTGTTTATTGAATTTATTAACTCCGTAAGACATGCATCTTTGACATGTCCTGCACCCATTTTCGTCACATGAGCATTTATAGGCAATTAAATTAATTCAAACTTCATTGGCATTAATGTTAGAGTTGCCTAGCTTAGTCAGTGAACCCTGCCCTGATCAAGAAGTAATAGACCCTTCCTTGGTAGCACATCTCCATCATAATTATGCACTATTGTTTTGTTTCTACAAGAGTTATATTTAGCCCATTTCAAACATACGAGCCACCTATATGGACAAGGAATTGACCACAATGGGTTGGGCCCTCTTTGGGACTGGACTGCAAAAGGCACCTCTGATTGAGTAATTGCCTTTGGCACTTTTTTGTTAGGCTTTGGCTCTCTAACTCTCCAAACAATGTGTGACTAAATATGGTTTTACTGGATCCTCGCAGTTGGAGAACTAAGGTCTCTTCGAGTCTAATAATATCCACATTAGCCATCACGCATAATGGGTGTGAGTTCTCTGAGCTGTGATAATTGTCTGCTCTATGGTAGGCCCCACACTGTTTTATCCTTTCAATATGGACCTAAAAGGTGTGTTTGAGAGAGGTCAACTTTGACTCTTTATTAGGCCTTGACTCTTAACTCTCCAACCATAGTGAGACTAAACATGGTTTTATCCCTGATAACAATAGATATCCATATCTTAGCGATGCTTATATTCTAGGTATCATTCTAGCTTTGAAATGCCTCAAATTTAATTTTACTATCTTCTACCAAGAAACAGCTTTCTTGCAGTTGTCCAATGAGGAGTAAAGAAAGAACTTTTTTTTCTTATATACAATAGCTTTCCTAGTGCTGCTATCTTGTAGTTGCCCGATGAGGGCTAAAGACAATCTTTTTTATCATATACAGTAGAGGCGGGAACTTTAATTCAGTGGGACACATTGGACATGGTTAGGAGATATTTAGTGTCAACATTAATATAATTTACCACAGCCAAATATGATAAGAGACAAACTATGCAATTCTTAAAGGTTTTTAAATGCTTCTACATTATTGTTTTCATTCTGTAATCATTAGATGGAAAATTGCAAATATAATAAATACATTTAGAAATAAAGCTATATTAACTACAAGAATATTTTTTGTGGATCTAAATTATTCTACAACAACAAATTATAGTTCATTTCATGCATTGCAAAACTGATCAGTTCAGTATTTAATTGTCGATTAACACGCAGAGCAGCCCAAACCGGGCGGTTGGGTTTGATTCACTAGATATATATACATGTGTGTGTGTGTGCATATATGTGTGTGTCTCTTGACTGTCTACTGCTCGCCACCAATTGTCTCCCCTCTTTTTCCTCCTCTTCTTCCTTGTCATCCCCTCATTCTTCCTCATCTTCTCATTCTTCCTTATCATTCCCAGCCACAGACTGGCACAGCTTCAATAACAGAAATTGCATTCCTTGGTTCGTTTTTTAAAATTTTGTTGGCTATAATGAACTTGTGACCTGAATATCACTTTCTATGTTGGAAGTAATCCAGGCATCACATCAAGATGTCAATTATCCCATTCATTGTTTTAAAAGGTCAAAATAAATTAAAGCATCTAGGAATGACCTCTCGTGCGCTCACAAATTAGTTGGCTTGTTTTGGAGGACTGGCTTTCTATTTCTTGCAAAGAGAGGAAAATGAGGGAAGATGGCGAAGAGAGGAGGGGGGTATAGAAAGAGAAAACTTAGTCCACATTTTTATTAATGGACAGTGCAATATGTTATGATTTAATATGATAGAATTCCTTTTCTTAAATCATTGTGGCTTAAATGTTATGGACTGGAATAGAGCAGAAGGTTTGTTTTTTTATATAGGTACCACAAATTGCAAATTCCCGGCTATCTGGTCAAAGGATCCACAACTTAGTCCATTTTCAGCAGTAGTTTTATTTAATTTGATCAATCTTTCTTTCTTCTGAATTACCATGTCCTTCTACATAATAAAAAAAAATTGCTTACTTGCTACATTTGTATGCAAGAATTTGCATGGGCACATTAAATAGGATGAATGAGTCATTTAATGGTATCCATGGTCCCTCCCTAAACCCGTCCCTGCTTACAGGTGCTCCAGGTCTTGTACCTAACTGCATGCACACATACATGCATGATCATGGGTGCAGAAATGAACTGTGGTTCCCCTATTTTGTCTCAAGCATAGGTTTACTTGTATGGAGAATTATGTTCGAAGCCATTGATATTTCTTAGTATATGGTTCTCTGCAATTTGGTGAATTTGTATTGAGTAAAAATCACAATGGAATTAATTTGTCTCAACCATACTTTTTTACTTGTGTGGTGATCTTTAACTGCACTGGTGCAGTAAAAATCATGATTAGCATAATTGCTAATCATGTAATTTAACTGGCCTATGCAACCAGTTAGTACACATTAGAATTCTTGAACAAATTACAGTTTAAATGCCAGTTTGGTCAACTTATGAACAATCTGATCTGAATCTCTTGTTGTTATGTTCATTGATGCTTCTCAGAAACAATCAATTCATGGGCGAACAGTTGATGATCTAAATCTCTTGTACCATACTCTTGGTGCAAGAACCTTACCTTTCACAATATCTAAATCAGATTTTGTTCCCTTTTGTTATTTCTAATATCAATTAAATGCTTATCATCATGGATGGCAAAAAAATGACCCATGATTGTCTTTTAATGGAACTTTACGTCATATAACTGTTATCACAGAATACAGAAACTTCAATTCCAAAGTGGGTGGTGGTTTACTTGATTATGATGGTTTGTGAAATGTTGTGGCTTTGCGCAGAAGTGGCGACTGGAAAACAGGCGGGAATTGTCACTTGGAGACACTACCGGATTTAGGTCCACGGTTATCCTTAAAACCTTGGTCACATTTCTTGAGGCCACTTAGGAATGTGCCCTTGGAAAATTCTACTGCAACCAAGGTTCTAGAACTGGATCTGTTGAATGTGACACAGATGACAGCCCGAAGGAAAGACGGACATTTATCCTTGTTTTACCTTGGCAAGTTGGGTCCTTCTCCACTCCACAGGCAGGACTGCAGCCACTGGTGCTTACCTGGGGTTCCAGATACATGGAATGAACTACTATATGCACTCTTCATGAGATCTGAGTTCATGAGGCTTCAAAATGTGACTGTCATTGGCAACACGAGAGTAAAGCTGAGCGAGTAAAGGTTCTGAACTCCATTGGTCAACTTGCAGTGAACAACTTCATTACAGAAGATCCATTTTTCTGAGAGATCTATTACATGCTCTTCTGAGATTGAGCCACCATTGTTGAAAGGTCGATTTCAGGATTTTGTGAGGCTTGTTGGTATAGGATACTGTCAGTTGCCAAGTATTTGTTGTAAATAGGCAATTGCCTAGAAATTTTACCCCAGCAGCACTAGAATCTGGGGTAAAATTCAACAACTATTTGATGTAAATAGGCAATTGCCTATTGTGATATACAGGAAAACATGATTATTTTCTGTAGATGGTCGAGGGAATTATACATCATAGATGTTGGGTATTTGGTGAGTTTGTTTAGGCACCATAGTTTTTCTTGTTCTTGGACTCCTGATGTTCTTGTGTTCATTATCATTTCTTACTAAAAGGTTTTGAATTGAAGCCGTTGTATTTCCTAGAATAATCTAAGCCCAGGAACAGGCTGCTGTCCATTGAAATGATGTAGATTCTTTTTCTCATTTTCATTTTTTTCATTTAATGGCTGGTGGGAAATCCAACATGAAGTTCATATTCTACAGCATTTCTGCAGATCTGGATAGATGCCCATATTCCATCAAATATTGATGTAGATAAGATTGATTAACCATGCCTTTGATTACTGCAAGGTGGATATGGATTTTTCTTGAGAGAATAACTATATATTTTTTTGGTAGCTTGATGTTGGTGAATTTGTGGTCGAAAGAAATATTCATGCATGTGATAAAAAAATCTTTATTGGTAGCTCTTCGTTATTGCACCACGTCACAAGATTGCCATCTAAAAAATTGGAGGATTGAGGAGCGTATATGGTAGCATCTTTCCATGCTCTCAAGTTAGTTTATTTCTTTCGAGAAGAGTTCCCACCACTTAGGCAAAATCCTATGGGAGCGATTCGATAATCTCACACATTTGCCTATTCAAAGCTTTTTTCATCTACTATGATTCTTGATATGAAATGCTTAGTTGCTATTATTAGTCTACTAAACAAGAGGACCTTTCTATTTTTCTATCTATCGAAGCTTTTAATGACAAGAATAAGTAATATTAAATTAATATAGTAATCGAATATTTGGATGAATGAGATTTTGAATAGTGGCAATCGTAGTAACTTTCACTATGAACAATGAAAAACAAAATAAAAATCCACTTTTACATTTCCATGATCGGACTGACTGTAAGTAAGCAAAGCTTTTACGTTATGAAACGTGACAGCAATAGACTCTAAACGAAGTCACCAAACCACACGCACAAGAACCTAAAAAGACTCGTATGCTTCACTTCTTTTTTCCTTCTTACTCTTCTACTCAAGTCAGAAGAAAATGAAAATGAGAATGCGTCAGTCAAAAAAGTCTTGTGTCGTCAAATACAAGATTCTTTTGAAGACTCGAGACTCCAGAATAATTGTCTTTATATACATCAAAAGAATAGAAAGAATAGAGTCACAATTTACAACCACAAACTGCATTTCTATGGACTAGAATTCTGAAAAGGAAATCGACCATAAGAATGGTGGACGACAAACTCAGGGCTGGGTTTACGGTTATTCTTTCCCCTTTAAGACCGATGATGTTGCAGCATGATTCTTGTTGCTTCATATGAAATGAAGATTTTCCGACACTTGTGGTTTCATTAGAATCCTCGACTGGGTGCCTTTGCAAGTCTCTGAGTCTCTCATATTATTAGACATGTAAGCATGGCAACTGAGGAGGATCACAAGATATCCGATTGGCCCAGAGATTTGCTAGCTTGACAAAATAATATTCCCCACACCATAGCCCCATTTTCATATCTGTCCCATTTTTGGAAAAAGAGGAGATAAGTTCATGAAAGATAGTAATCTTTATGAATAATAACCAAGGTAAGAGAGTTCAGAAGCATTCACACTGTACCTTGTAATTCTTCCATGGAAAATAATGATAATTTGCAAATTCTTCTGTCGTGATTAAAAGAATAGTGAGAGAGATCAAGATCACGAATGATTTTGATGGATGCAAGGAGTGCTTTGGCCAAACCAGCATATTCTGCATCATTGGCATTGGAAAAGTTTTTAAGAGATTCCTCCAGACCAGAGATAGTCCATGCCTCTGCACACTTATCCAAGCTAGTTGATAATTTGCTTAAGCTACCGCAGTTTAGTAATATCCAAGGCTTGTAACGTTTCATGGAGGCTCTTAATACTTCCGTAACTCTATAAATCTCTCCAAGGGCAATGAAATATTTAGCTTCTGCAGGGGATGAAATTTTGCCAGGAGGAAAGATATTCAGTGCTGATGAGTAACGAATTTGCCAAATCTGTTACAGGTTTGGCTTTATGAAAGTTAATTTCAGTTAGTATGAGAGTATACCTCCAAATAAAATTTGCATTAAGGTTTGTGCTTGAACTGATTCTTTTAAAACCTTGGCACCATGCTGCAACTCTTGAACACAAGCCACAGCCATATTAGACCATACATCAATATAAGCACGCTGCTCCTCCCTGGATGCTAATGCCAGAATGTGAAGTACTGAGGTGGTATGTTCAAGAAGTTCGATTGCTGCACTTGCCTCTTTCCCTGCCTAAAGCAAGTGAATTAGTTTCTAACAGCTCATAAGTTCTGGGCATCATACACGAAAGTTTGGATACAGATTTTTTAATAGTTTTATGTATAAAGCAAATAGCTAAAGAATACTTACTGACAAGATTCTTTCTGATAGGTGATATTCTTGCTCAAATGCTCGAAAGTTTGGTTCTTCTACAGCTTTAAGCAGTTGACTAACATAAACATCTACTGGTAGGTGCTCCCCCCTTATAATATTTCTAGTGCCCTTAGCTTCTTCCAGCTTCTTATAAACTGCCTGAAGGAGGGTAAATAGGCATAAACATAACTCGATTTGTTAAAAAAGTTTGTAAAAAATCTAATTAAAAATGCCTAACTAATTTTAACCACCCAAGAGAAATGAGAAGCCAGGAAGTATAGCTTATAAAAAGATATAAGATTCAAAGTAAATCATACTCAAATGCAAGCAGACTAAAACTAAATGATAAACGTGCTATGACTTTTTTGACACAGAAAAAATAAGAAAAAGACTAATAAATTAATTTGTTAAATGACTTTCAAGTCCAGGCCAAATATAATATTACCTTCAAATGAGTAGGGGAAAAAAAGAATATCACCCTGTGATGTGCGATATGGGTGCTTAAAGGCAACAATAGTGCTGTGTGCTATGCAAAATATTCATCATATTATTGTTTCAATACAATAGAAATTAGCATTGTAATCACATTACACTCAGGCATATTTCCTGAGGTTTATGTATGAATTATAACTTCAAGAAGATATAAAGGTTCATGAAACCAGTGTTATTAAGAGCACCCTAGGGGCTCATACAAGCAAAACGAGATGCTAGCATTATGAAAATTATAAAAAATATAATAAAAATAAAGATAAATTTTAAAACAAGAACTTCAAACAAAACATGATCTTTATATCTTAATATCCAAATAAAAACATGATGTCTTGCTAAAATTATTGCATCTATGGTACTTTTGCTGCAAAACATACAGTAAAAACATTAGAAACTTGTGCATCCTTATAATAATTGTACTTTCATTAAAAGTTTGTTTAGTGCTTCACAATGGTTCTTCTGATTTACCTATCGATGCCACTGGAAAGGTATCTTGTTGTCATGTTAAATTGATGTCACAAGGAAAAGGGAGAGAAGAAAAGGGAGGAAAGAGAGAGGAGTCAAGCGATGAAAGGGGAAGGGCAACAATGGAGGGAGGGCAGAAGAAAAGGAAAGAAGGAAAGGAATGAAAGAAGAAAGGGAGGAGGGACGAAAGCCAGAAGGGGGGAGGACAGTGGTGATGACTATTGAGGTAGAGAGGACAATGACAGTCAATGCTAGCCGCAAAAAGAGAAGAGATTAAAAGAAAAGGGAAGAGAGATGGGAAAGAAGAGACCAAAACCGCAATAAGAGATGGCCACACATAGAAAAGAGGAGAGAAGAAGAGTGCAGACGGAAAAGAGAAGAGAGGATGACAATGGTAGAGCACATGTGAAGAGAGGGGAGAAAGAGGGAGGAAAAGAAAAGGAATAGGAGAGGGAAGGGAGATAAGAGAAGAGGAAACATACTAACAAAAGAGAGGACAGACAACCAACAATGAGAGATCAGTGGTAGAAATGCTAAGGCAGGGGACGTGTTGGGTGCAACCCTTGGGGGGAATGAGAATTAGTTTTGGAACGGATTTGGATGACTGGGTTGCTCAGACTAGTCCAGGTGAGCACCTATGAAGCTTAGAACCTCAACTGACATGAGCGGTTGAAGGCACCTCAACAAGGCACTCAGGCTTCACGTTTGCCATGTCAGAAAACCTCTTGGCATCATTACTTGAAAGAAGTTTAATTCCATTAGTATTTCTTCCATATGTTGGTTAAATGGTACCCACATTTTTGAAGAGAGGGATAGGTGTGGTCCTAGAAAATTTTACCATAGGCATTGATTGTGGAGCAGCATAGGACCGATATGCCATTGGGATCTGATTGGAATTGTCATTCCAAGTAAATGTGTTAGACCATATAGCGATCAAATTATATCCTAGAACTAGAGAAAATGAAAATTTAGTTTATGAATTCAGCAATCCTGGCTTTTGTAAGAATTTTTATAAATTGGGTATGCTGTTTTGGAAATTGATCTTTTAGGACAAGGTCTCTGTAGATCAATCTCCCTAAAATTACAATATCCGTGTCTGACATTCCTCCGAGGTCGTACAACACTTTCATGATGCATATCAAACAATAAGTCAAATTTTCATTTACCTTTTTTTATGAAATTGGATGTTGCTCAGATATGGAGCGACACTCAACTATGTGGCTTGATGCATATGTGATATAATTGGACAATGAACACTTCTTACTTTGTGACGAAGAACCATCTAGCTATATAAAAGATTTTCGAAGAGTTTATTTCAGGCAAAGAAATCAGCTAAAAAGGTAATTAATTAGTTGACCTAGAAACTCTAAGGGTTGTGTGAAAAATTAAAGAGTCTTTTGCTCTTTCTAAGTGCTAACCTTAGGACTCTATTTTTGTATTAAGTACACTTTTGTACTAAGTGCACTCTTTTTCTTCTTAGCTATAATAAATTGTCTTAAAGTTGTTTAGGTATCCTAGAAGTCACATTTTTTATTTCTGAAAGGCATATCATTTCCCTAGGATGTTACTCTTGGGACTCATTGCCTACATTGATTGTATTAAGGCTCATAAACCCCTATAAATAGTGGGGCTTGTCAATAGATCAAACACTTTATATTTGAATGTAAAACTTGCATCTTCTCTACTCTTCTAGGCTCTTACTTGCCTCTCTAATCTCACTCCTCTATTGCTTTCTCTATGCTTCTCTATACTCTCTTCTACAACGGTTGGTATCAAAGTAATCAAGATTACTTGATTCATTTCAATCTTAAAGTTTCAACTTGTAATATAACAATTTAAGTCATATCTTTGCAGATAATTCAATATCAACGAAAAAACGATTGGGAACATACAACAAAGTTGTTCCTCAAAGCCCGAAAAAATTAATTCACTATCCCTTCCTAATTTAGATATTTTTAATGAAATTAAACTAAACTTGCATTTAGTTCCAAATTAAAAACCTAATCTATGTTTTTTTCCTAATTTTCAAGTATTTTCCGAGGGTTATGGGGAGTTGGTACCATCGACAAGCCCCACCGTATCAACACATGGTATATTGGTATGGAGCAGAATGTGCCATGCCAACCGGTTAGCACAAGAAGTCGAAACTTGGTTTGAAGTACCCAATGGTGAAGATGCCTCAGATCATATTGGGTGATAGACTAACCATACCAAATGTTAAATCAATTAGCATCAATTTCCCTAGAGTTTTCTCATACCTACATATTCTACTAAAGTGTTCTTATATTACAAGTTGTCAACATAGCCCTTCGATTTTGGACAACTTTTTTACAAGCATCAATTCAGAATAATGTGAGGACCCTTGCTTATTTTGTACCACATCCAAGCATTAAGACCTCTCATCCTACACTTGACACTTCATGGTACCGGATGTTGAAGATGCCTCACATCACTTCCAAGTCACAAACAAACCCTATAGTGAAAGTGGTTGACATAAATACTTATATAATATAATATAATTTTGTGCTAGACATCAGTAGCCTAACACAACCCTTTACCTTTTCCATACAGGCTAGGGACCTACACTAGTAGTGTCTTTTTTTATGTTTAAGAATATTGTTGATAAACCTAACATTTTCAAATTAAAAATTATATGTGATGGATGACATAAGCTTGTTTCATAAAGTTTAAGTTGATTTGATATTGCTAATAGGATTGTCAAAAACAACATGTAGTGTCTTTGACGACATATGATCAAATGAATGCAATGACCTCATAAATCAAGGCGGTCTATCTCAGGAAGCACGATGCATTTCCATTTGTTTTTCTTATTCATGAACTTAATTTAAGAGGTTGGATGAGAAGCTAGAAGGCTCATAAGATGGTCTTAGGACCACTACTATAAACAGGTTCAGTCAACCATGCAATTAAGCACGCCTAAACATCAACTATGCAAGTGTGAAAGTGGTTACTAATGACTAAGAAGAAGTATCTCAGTTGGTCAACTGCAATTGTATTTTTAGGCATGGGTAGTCTTTGTGCAGTGTCGTCTGGACCAATTTTAGACAATAACTGGTTACAATTTAATCATTCTTAACATATAAGATTTTGATATTTTACTGATGTAGATTGGTCTAGTTACATATTATGGCAGTGCTTATCGGTAATAAAGATCTGCTATAACTTATTTAACATCATTACTATCTGACTAATCAATCTCCTCACATTATATCTGTTATTCATAATACACAAAATAAAGGTCACAGCTATATAGCATAGAGATGATATGAATAAATGAATTAAGAAATAAATTATAAAGTGAACCAAAGGCATCAAAAGTAATTGATTAATGTAAAATCACCTATGGTTTTGTACTAGTGTTAATATAAGGTAAGAGAAAGAGAAGATAACAATAAAACAAAAAATATGCTTCACATATAATAACTTCCTCGAAACTTAAGCATCCAAAAGTAATATGTCCAAGGAAAAGAGACCTCACATTGTAAATCAAACTCACCTTAATTTCCTCTTTTCTTTTCATTTCTATAATTTGTTCACCAGAAAGAGAAGCAACTCCATATGCTTTCTGCAAATAAAAAACAATTTCCTTACCTAATTTAGTGAAACAAATAGAAGGAATTATATGGTTGGATTGCACTAACCTCGAGATTATCGAGATGGCAATTTAACAAGAATATCGATCCATCTTTCAGTCTGTGGTAAAGATCAACAGGAGTGTTGTATGACAAATTAGTTGAATGATATTTATTTATTTCACATGCAGGATCCTGATTGCTAACCACTAATTCCAAAGTCTTTAGGAACTTCCATTGAGTTCCACCAAGATCATGATCCCTCTGCACTGAGTCAACCATATCTGAGTTTTGTCCCTTCTTTGTGGCATCTTTTTCAGAGTAAATAGCATCTTCCTTATCAACCTCAATAAACAAGTCCAGTATGTTGTTACTAAGACCAGCAGATGGACCAGAAATTATATCCTTAGTTGCACTCCCCACAAATGTAGGTTCATAGAAATACCCATTCTTATCATGATATGGGCTTACATCAGATTCTTCTTTAACACTGCTGTGAGAATGAATAGGCCAGTCATCTAGGTTACTTTCTCGCATGCTTCTGGTAACCTGAAAATTTTTGAACAAAGAGGTTATGTGATTATCAGATGTGTATCCACAGATTAATGCTCCTAAACCATATTCAAAATAGCTGACTATAATTTATGCCCTCATACATGATATAAGATACTTAGTATAATAAAGGATTATAATGGCGCCAGCAAGGGTTTATCTTGATTAAGGTGTTGACTGCATTCACCTTTGTTTAGGAACCACAAAGCCAATGGTCAAGATTGTGTGTGAGCAACCAATACCAGCAGGTCTATGCACCTAGTATGCAGCTATAGTTGGTCTATTCCAGAGTCTTAGTTAAACTTTGTATTTAATTATAAAGAAAGTAGTATATCAGGAAACCAGAACAATTATATGAAGCATTATAATAATTTAAATAGCTCCTGATCCTAGATTGACTGGAAAGGGTTACACGAAATATGTTTAAGAGGTCAGATGAACAGTGAGATCATATGCACAGAAGTTTCTAAGTGATGCAAGCCTCCTGCATTAACTGGTATCAGGGCCAAGTTCCACTCTGACTATGAACCTGATTCAGAAAACGTAGTTCAGCACATGCAATACATGCCTGCAGCACTTGCAAATTTCAAAAAAGAACCATCATATAAACAACCGGTTGACAGTCATCAGCAACTTAAACAATTCAACCACTAAAATATTTTTGCCAGCTTATAGCACTGAGTACAACTTCATGTGAAGCTAAAAGGACCGTTGTCTGACCGTGCTTCTTCTTTCTGAAGGCAACTTGAATGTGATCTATAGAAACGTACATTCAATAAAGCCTTCCTTCTTCATATACTAAAAGATAATCTAGGAAAATCCTTTGAATAGTCCAATCAAGTCCATAAGGGACAATCAGGACAGCCATATGCTGATCAGTATAAAACTACCCAGGCTGAAATCCATATAGGGTAGAAATCCAGTGCTTTTTTTAACATGTAGAAAATCAGAATGATTGTTGGGTCCCGACACATTCAACTCAGCATCTTGAATATTTTGATTTTTCATAGCTTTAGAGAGAGAAGAACAATGCTTTAATAAGACTGTCAAAATACATATCAATCAATGATGTCGCAACTCCAAGGAATAGAGAAACACAACTTCTTGTCCAGTAGTTGTTACAACATCATTCTGGAGAAAATTACCACTGAAATTCCAGAACCCATCTTCACCTCATTTATTGCTAGTCTCCAGGCTGGAAAACCAATCATCTTCATTTTAGGTGTTTCTTGTTTTATCAGGAACTTCCAAATCCTTAGGAGAACTAATATCAGAAAAAGAACCTGTTCCATCTGTAATTTGATTATCGACATCTTGTCCATCATTGCTAACATTCATTTAACTATTTGTTTGCCAGTGAACTCCAGATCCAATTTGAATAACCTTCACAGTATTCTTTTCATATCACAAATGTACATCACAATAGCTCAGGATGAGAACGCACCTAGTTATTTTCTTCAAATATGAAAAATAATTGGCAGATGTATTCTTCACTGGAACATTCACGTTCTAATGCTAATGGGAAATGCAGAAGCTACTGCACAAGTTACTGGACTGAATGCACCCTGTAGATGTCAAGGGTGGCTAAAATGAAAAAACAGAAAACAAGGAGGGGCCAAGTGAAGAGGCTGCTGATCCTCACCTCGGATCTCTCTAAAAAGGGTAGCTAAAATGCAAGAACAGACAACAAGGAGGGGCCAAGTGAATAAGCTGCAGATTCTCACATCGAATCTCACTGAAAAGGGTAGCTAAAATGCAAGAAAAGAAAAAGAGGGGCCAAGTGAACAGGCTGCCGATTCTGACCTCGATTTCTCTAAAATCCGCAGTTTCGGTGCATTGAAGACCAGATTTCTCGTTTCGTATTCCATCTTCCTGAGAAAAAGAGAGCCAGAATATGATCAATCAGCGAAAAAGAATAACCAAAGTTAGACCACGCCACCACCATCAGAACTCCCATCATCGATATCAATGTTATCATCACCTTGAGCACCGAATTGGGCGACGAGGAAGAGGCGTCCTTGTATTCCCAGGAGCTCTCGTCGGAATCGTCCTCCTTCCCCTCGGCCAAACAAAGGCCATCGTTGTCGCCACCGACCGGTTGGGAAGCTTGTCCATAGAGACTGGTGATCAGATCCCTCAACTCTCCATGCGCGGCGACAGGTCCCTTGCGATCTCTGGCCGGGATCGAAGAAGATAAAGAAGCAGAGAAGAGGACGGGCGGATGGAGAGGCTCCGGCTCATCCACCTCCTCCTCCCCAAAGATCGATAGCGGCAGGGCACCGCTGGGCTTCTCCCACTGCTTGACACCGGCGATCTTGTCAGAAGCGGCGGCGTACAGGGGAGGGAAGGCGTCGAAGAGGGGCGGCGGAGATGGGGACTCGACGGGGTGAGATCCAATCGGGCTGACGACGAAATCGCCCCAGTCGTAATCGTCCTGCTGCTGCTGCTGCGTTGGCGGCGGCGGTGGGTGAGACGGGAAAGGTTGGACGGAGGAGGCGAACTTGAAGTCTCCGAATCCGTCGTCATCGTCGAAAGAGAAGGAGTACGCGGGGGAGAAGATGGAAGCAGCAGCAGCAGGAACGTGGATCCCCGGCATGGTGGCGGTGGTGGTGGCGAGGCCGCCGAGCCGGAGGAGGTAATGAGCTGTTTCCGAAGGTGTTTTCGTTCGGGTGGGTACCGTGACGCGCGACTTTATGGTGCGGCCATAATTAACGGGCCGGGAAATGCCTGATGAGGAAAGCCCCGCCGACGCAGCGTGGGGCTTGCTTGTTGTTTATTGACCGTCCATAGCCAGACTTACTTGTGCTGTAAGTGGGGTCCGATTAATTGCTCTCTCAACTCGGATCCAACACATGTTGGATCCAACAAAGAGGTTGATCATGGATCGGGTAGAAGAAAGAGCATAACAAACTCAAAAGATATTGATGCTCATGCACTTTTCCATTAATAATAGACATGAATGATAGAATGGGATAGGAGTGATATTGATCAAACATAGAAAGTAATATTACCCTAAAATAAATATATAATATATATATATATATGGCAATTAAATAGAATTTTTAAGCTTTGCATAGATGATAAGGGTAGTGTTTAGGTTATTATGATTATGAATAAAATATTATAGTAGTGATACAGATGAAATTTCTCGAAATTGATGCGACCTCCCAATCTAATTTTAGGGTTATCATGTTTGAATAAGGTGAAAATATTCTTCTAGGACGATATGGTCATGACTCAAAGACAGATTTGTCAGTAGCAACATCTCTATCTCGTATCCTTTCAACGATCAGTTAGTACTTTTTGTCTTTTGGCCATTCTTTTCTCCGCGAAGAACATGACATCGTAACAATATATTCCCTAATTAGTAGTGAAAAAAAATAAAGTATATTTCTCAAGAGCTATTTTGATTTAATTGTATCTCGTGAAGATGAAGTTGTAACCGATCGGTTCAACCGACTAAGTTTTGATAAGAAAAATAATTATTTTCGATACAACGAAAAATAATTATTTTCGTATGAAAAAAAACGAAAAATAATTTAAAATGTAATTTAGATATCTTCTTGAAAAATATGAATCTAATCAGATACACAATAAAAAACTTTGTTAGAATTAAGATTTGTCTGTCTTCACCATTATCCCAAAAATAATATCTGTGTATTAAAAATTTAAGAAAGAAAACCAAATTAGATAATTTAGTCTGATTCAGTTTTGGGATAAAAAAAAGAGTGGAAAGAAAAAAAAAAAAAAAAAAAAAACCAAAGCCGATAATTTGGTCCGGTTCAGTTCGTGCGATCGGAACGACTCGGTTCGATCACGGCCTGAGCAATCTACGAAGAAAAACCGCAAAACCCTAACCATGGGGTTACCCGACCCTCTTATCCCCTACTTCCGATTTCGACGCTCCCCTCTCCCCCTCTTCCCCGATTCCTCTCGTCGGTCCGTCTGTCGCTCTCCCGGATCCTTCGTCTTCTTCCTCGCGCTCTCTCGTTCCTCATTTTCTGGCGCTAGACCCTACTTCCTACCTCTCTCTCTCTCTCTCTACCTAAATATGACCGCCGTTGAAGATACGCTGTGTCGGTGGCGACATACAAGCAAAGACTGGCATTAGGTGGATGTCGGACGGCAGCAGATTGGGCTGCGAATTTTGAGGTTGGTTTTCATTTTTTTTTCCCCTTTGATTTCGTTTATTTGTTCTTTTTTAATGGAAGTTTTCATCTGATTCGAATGTTAAGTTCGGTATATCATTTGATCGTAGTTTTGGTTTCAAAGCAGATTTATTATTTTCAATCAATTTTTATGTTAGCTTTTCTCAATGACGTAGTAGCCTTTGGGATTTCTAACATTATGGTGGTTATTGGGGTCTTATTATTATTGGTTTTTCTATTATCTATTATTTGCTATGATCGCTAGCTGAGGGGTTTTAACCTTTTCTTAATGGTGACGTCTGTCAAGTTAAATTGGATTGATTGTGAACCGGCCTGGAGACGGTCCTTAAAGAAGTTCATTTTTATTGATATAATGTAAAGTTATTTTGATATTAGGATTGGTCTTTAAAGAGTTCTTGGTGCCTTCATTTTGCTAGAATTTTGTGGGGTTATGAAATTAACTTTGCCCGCACGACTATAGTGTATGAGAAAAGCATTCCCTGCATTGTTATTCTCCTTTACTAATGCAATAAATATTTTAATTTAATAATTTAGTTTGATAGTGCGAGGCCTTTTATCCAACTCGAACCAGAGATACCTTTAATTTTGTTTAGTTGATAGTGGTGTAATTTGTTCTGGTTTCAAATTTAAGTAACATTGTAACACACCCCTTGTTCCTCTAGATTAAGCTATATCTAAAATAAATAATTTATTTATGAAAACAATTTAAATTTTGGTCAGTAAACTTATTAGTTGTGGCAATTGGCAACAATTTATAATGACCTGTACCACTGCTTATGTTAACATTGCCAATGTCGGTCCAAGCTTGATAGTACTTGATTTAAAATTTGTTACATAGAAAAAATTAAACAATTAAATGGTATAAGAATAATCGTTCATAAGGATCTTAGGAACAATTCTGTTGATGTGCAAAGAATTGGAGATAAAATTATAGTTCTAAAGTTTGTCTTAGGAGAAGATGTTTTGAATGCCATAAGTGTTTATGCCCCTGAAATTGGATTAGATGATCAAACCAAAAGAGAATTTTGCCCCTCGAGTTGGATTAGATTATGAAACCAAAAGAGATTTTTGTGGGAACTTAGATGCTATCATTTAAGGAATATCTATACCGGAAAAACTTATAATTGAAGGAGATTTGAATGGTCATGTAGGAAAAACATATGGTGAATCCCTTTTGCTTGGAGTAATTTACCTAAAAAAGAGGAGAATCTAATTCATAAGACATTTGCTTCCATTCATATAAGTGTGTAACTTGTTTTTTCCATGTTGGTTTACATGAAAAATGTCACCTCTAGTAGAAAATATGAGTCATGACATTAGGATCTTTAGGATCCTTTAGATAGTTGTATTTCCAACCAGGATCCTTGCTTGAGTTTTTTTTTTGTCGAGTCTTTTGTGTTACTCTCTATACTTGTCATTATTCTTAAAATATAGAAAGGATCGATCATCAAAGGTGAAATACATTAATTGTTATTGTTCCTAAAATATAGAAAGGATTGAACATCGAGGGCGAAATAAATTAAAAAATATGTTAATATCAATAGATCATGTAGTATGCTACAGCTGTAGGGTGTTGTTTGTCGCGCTCTAATCAAGTTTATTTCCATCTAATATGGTGATGGAAAGTCCTAACTTAAGAAGCACAGACATGGACACAGACACAGACATGACACGACACGAACATGGCGACATGCCGACACAGATACGGCGAGGACACATGTATTTTTTAATGTATACAATATTCGTTTAACATGAGTTTTATAATATTTATATTTAAATTTTATAAACTCGATAATTTGAACAAATAAATATCATCAAACGGGTTAAAAAAATTAAAATAATACAAACTTCAGTATACAAAATAAAGGTTGAGTACATCAAATAACATTTACGAATGTCCAGATAGAATTGATATATGCTTCCTTGCGGCAATCTTTAGATTTCTTTTCTTGCGAAGCATATGACTCTCATGTGAGGGTCACGTGTGTACAATGTTGCACATGAGTGTCCGACACGTATCGGTCAAGGACACATCCACCAAAAGCACGTGTTTGTGCTTCTTAGGTCCTAACAGGGTGTTATTTTTGTCATAAGTTTCTAACAAAGTGCTTATACTGAGATCATTTGTAGGAAATAAGAATAGAGATCAAAGTTGCAGTGTTACTGTGAGAAAGAGGAGATGGAGAGGATGACCTTCACTAGTGGGTAGATGAAGGTAGCAATGTGTATGACGGAGTCGAGTAGGAAAGCAGGGGAGTATGGCACCTCGGTTGAGGAAGCAACATTTAGCGAAGGAAGGCTGCAATATCGGGCTCAGCCAAGTGGTGCATAGGGCGAAGGAAGGTTGTAAAGGCCACAATCGACGTGTAAGACGGAGTAACGAAGCATCAGATGATGGAGGAACAAACGACAACGACGACATAGGGTTTTCTTATGTTGGCAGAAAGGGTCGAGTGCTGAGGAGTAAGTGGTTGAATTAGTTGGTTCAACTGAATCAACTAATTCGATTTGATTGACTCAGTCTAACCCATGCTTCAAGTGATGCAGGTGCATGCTTGAGTTGTTGGCGCCTGAGCTTAGGTGTGCTCCCGAATTGCGCTTGTTTAAAGCAACTCATTGAGCGCCTAGGCAAGAGCCCAAGCAGATTTTCAAAACACCAAGTATAAGTTGTATAAGTGTCTTGTCTGTATTTTAAGTAGTATGTTTGTACATGCTAATTTATATAGTACATAACAATATAAAATCAATCAGCACAAATTTGGCCATCTGTTTTACGTGAAGCAACATGTTGAGTAACTTGTGATATAGCAGTAAATGCAAGACGTGTGGGTGGATCTACCCATCAAGTTCCTATTCACTACATGACATCTAGCTCTTGATGAAGCATGCCCAGGCATGATTCATATTGTGAGGTATCCTGATGTGCTATGTCATTGCTATCACAATACTGTCTTATCATAATTTTTGGTGGAAGTCACAGTGGTCAGCATACGAAAGCCATGCTGGATCATTTGGATAATGGATGCATATGATCATGGATGAGTACTCAACTGTGCCTTTATTGAGACCCTCTTGTGTGCATGATCCATCCCTTTGTATCTGATAAATATAAGAGTAATTATGATCTCAAATGAATTAAAAAGAAATAGCTGTATCCTACCTATTTTTCTTTAGCCCCTGTTTTGGCATTTCAACATGCACATTGGATTTCCTGGTGTGTAATTTTCTCCTTAGAAAATATAGCCGTTTCTTACCCTTTTTTTAGCCCCTGTTCTATCATTTAGACATGCACATTGGAATATATGTTGTTTCTTTTTTGCCTTTGCCTCGCAGAGCAAGTCAAGTTGTTGATAATTCCATGTTTTTGATAATCCCAAATGTGAGAAGCAAAGAGGAGCACATTTGAGTAGAGAAAAGGGGGGTGGGGGAGGGAGAGGAGGTATTGATTAAGGGTAGACACAATTAATAACATTTATGCTATGGAGAAGATCGACGGTGGTTGATCATCTTGTTGTGCTTCCGACAATAGAGCTATGCATGATAAGGATGTGGAATGCCTAAGCTTAAAGAAGGGAAGCAAAGCTGAAAAGAAACATGTTTTGGTTTTTTTTTGTGCTGCAACTGGTAAAGTGGGATAATATTTTTTAATATTATTCTACTTTCTATTACTTTGTAAGGAAATAGGTTCTTCTGAATTCTTGGACCACCTTATTTATTTTGGGTCATGAAGTCTTTGGTTCACATGTGGAAAAAAGGGTTGAGGACTTTACTTTCCTTGCAAGTGTCATGAAACTATATTATGGAGCTCTTTTATGTTTTAGATTTTAGATATCAGGTCTTTTTAGTAATTTCAGTCTGTATACGAACCATATCCTTACATTTTAATGGGTTGGATTATTTGCTTTTTGACCATGATTTCTTTATATTTTTTCCTAGTAGAAGACAACTGTGTATAATCTATTGGTCATGGTTTGCCTTACCGGTGTACCGACCAGTTGTCGGTGTGATACATATTGAGTTGTATCGAGCTGTATTAACACATGATACATGGAGACATACTGATATACCGCCTGTACCAGTCTCCTATCGGAATGGTATGTACCACCCGTACCAATCTGTCACAGACTTAGCTAGTTTTGCCTAAGTCGTGCGGCACCCTTGCGTGTCCGTCCGCAAAGGTCAGCCTCCCCAAAACCTCCCATGGTCCCTTAGGACCTACAAAAGAGAAAACGGGTTAGAGAAAGCGCATCTCTCGGGCTCCACAAACAAACATTTCAGAAAACACTTTATAACCAATGCAAATTACAAACAAACTTTACAAGCTCTGAACGGTTGTACAACAAAGGGTCAAAATGGTCCACTACAGACCGAATATCTCTCACAAGTGTCCACATGACACAACCTTTATTTACAAGCCTAAAACGATCACTAAACCCAACTAAAATGGGGTTGTTAAGCCTTCGACCATCCCTCTACATGCTATACAAAGCATGAACAAACCAAAAGACACGGACATACATAAGCATTACATCAAACATCTTGTTTAGAAGTTTGTCCGTGACAAAACGGTATGCCACGGTATGACAAACCTTGCTATTGGTAATCAAGATTCAATATTGCTTTTGTTGTGTATATCATGATTTACATGGCCAAGTTATTCTCTTTCCATTAGTAAATGTTTTAGATGTTCTAACATGAACACCTCTGGCGTTAGATTGTAATATACACTATGAGATGTTGTTGTCTTACTTTATGGCAAACTTCATCTCTTGACATTATGCAGGTTGTTTCCAGAAATTGGTAAACATTTGGCAGCATGCAGGGTCTAAGCACTAGCTGTGTTCATCAAAGATTTGCTTTAATTAGATGCTGTGATTTGAAAGACAAGAAGTCTCGGCGTCGAAAAACAAGGGAGGAAAGGAGAACATTGGTGGAGTCTTTTATAGACAAGTAATAAAAGTTTCCTTCAACATCTGGCTTCTTATCAAAAGATTCATTTGCTAGTTTGTTGCATGAATTTGTTTGTATAACTCCCCTTTTTGGGGTTATCCTTTCTGCCATGAACATTTTTATTGTTGTTGACCAAATAATTGCAACTTGCAATAGTTAATGGAAGTTTAATATGCAGGACTTCTTCAATTCAACAAATCATATTATTGTCATTAGCAAGTAGTATATGCAGGATTGAAGTATAGCACAACCACCTTGTGCTGTCCAACACAATAACTTAGAAGTGTCACATTTTCTTGTCCAACTTTTAATTTACAAAATATAACAGCTAATCAGTGACAAATATTTTAATGTAAGCTTATTTGCCTCGTCCTCCGACTTTTGCATCTAAAATATTCTTAAGGAACCCATTTAATGTAGTGATCCAAAAGCCATTTTTATGGATTATGCTATAGTTGAAATGAAATCATCTATATTTTCAACTTTCCTACCATCTTATAGCTACAAGACACAATTTGCCTCTATATGATAATCTGGAAATCTTGATTTATTATGCATGAATCACTAATCAAACTTACAAACTCAATTTCCCTTTATGGATTTTCTTAACCATGACTGTATACCTACCCTACTATTCTTTGGTTCTCTTTAATTATTCTACTTTTGGCCAGTCACACTTTTGCAGATTCATTGAAGTTCTTGGTGCATTCTTTTTGTCTGATTTGGAAGTCTTTGATTGCAAAAAAAAGTGACCCTTTTGCATGATGCTCCCGCCAATGTGGCTTTGGTTATGGTTTATGTATACAGCCTTATCCCTACAAGTAGAGATAACTATCTGTATTTGTTCTTTTGGGAGCTCAATTCTGTCTTCTGCACTATTTGCAACTGGTTTATCTCGTTTATGCAAATCTTTGCATATATTATTTACTAATTTTAACTATGCATTTAGGAACAAGTACTGAAGTAGCATTTTATATCTGACATCTTGAAGATAAAACTCATAGTAATGTTTATGCCATATGATCTTGAAGTTATTCAAAACTGTGTTTCACATTATCAGAATGTGTTACATAAAACATTGTTACAAAACTGCTTTCAGGTACCGAACATTAAATAATGGAAAATTTCCTTCTCTTAATCTAACACACAAGGAAGTTGGTGGGTCTTTCTACATAGTAAGGGAGATTGTTCGAGATATAATTCAGAAGAATAAGGTGCTGGGTCCTGGTAGTCCAAGTATGAAAGCACTTACCCTTGAAGATTGCTTGGAGGAACATGAGTCAGAAAATTTTGCCATCAATCCTCACTATGAAGTGTTTACATCATCTATTGAGCTTGCAGTTGATGAGAAGCAGATAGAAATATCCTCTCAAGCACACCTGGGCGAAGACAATGAACAATTAGTACAACCTGATTTCGATGAAATTATTGTATCTGGTCAAAATAATCATTTGTTCTCTCATGTCATACAGCACAGTCCCAGTCATTTACAGCAATGCTCCAGTGGTGATAATGAGCATGATAATCTAATCAACACAGAGTCCAAGGAAGTGAATTTGAGAAAGCCATCATCGTGGACATATGACAAGACAGGAAACAATGAAGAAAGTCGTTCTGCAGTTCACGGTGATATAGAAAGAAACAAATTTCATCAGGTTAAGCAACCAGAACCCTTGTATGAGACTTCGTCAATTACTTCTCCAGAAGAAGAGCTGCTGCTGAATGAAGATGTAAAAAACAATTGCAAGAGTCTTGCTGAGACAGTTAACATGTCAACAGAAAATGGGAATTATGAGACTAGCACGGCAGATGCTTTACCAGAAGAAAAGGTTTTTATAAGCTCATTGACCACATCTGATCATTTGTTTAGTAATTCAGCTTCCTCTGAAGAAGAATTCTCTTCATTGGTATCTTCTGCTATGAAGACTGACTCAGACGAATTAGTTACACCCCAGGATGTTGCGAGTATCCAAAGTTTGTCAAATGTGCAGGAAGAGTCATCCAATGACGAGCTTTCCATTCCAAATGGAACAGAGCTTCCAGAAAATACCTTTTCCAGTTTAGATGATAAAGTAACCAACTCCATGTCGCAGGTATCAGAAAATCTGATTTTCCCTCCATCTGGCATTTTGCAGGCTGAGGTCGGTTTCTACAATCATTCTGCCTTGTGTTGTTATTTACCTGGTTGTATGATACTTTGGCATCTTTATTATTTTGTGCCATAATATTAAAGCTCTCTATATTTTGTACTTGTTACTGTATTACACATTTTCGTTTGAGAAATTCTATTTTTACTCTCCATGGAATCTGTTTGTTATATGATCAAGTTAGTTTGATCACAGTAATTTTAGCAATTTAGTATAAATTGAAGAAATATGATAAGCTAAAGCCTAGTAGATGTAGTTTGATTAAGAGTCCTAGTTGTATACATTCAGTCATATGAAGGCCTAGGTTTGGCTAACAGTCTACCAGCTTCTCGAATTTTGCTAGATTGTCATGATTACCTTCTATTTCCTATATTGTAAAATTGATAATGGTGTACCTTGAATCTTTTGTTTTGGAATTGGTGTCCAATTGATTAGGTCAATTAGATGTTATTCAGGTCAAGTAAGGGATCTAGTTGCATGTGGGAAATGGTAGTTAAATAACTGAAGATGATATTCGGAAAGATGCAACCAACAAAATTTAGGAAGGAGACTAAATCTCTTCATTCTTGCATTTTTCTCTATTAGAAGTTTAGTTTCAGCAGGTGATGGGAAACTAATTTTGTGTTGCTGCTTGATTGGATAAATAGGTTGTTGTACGATCTTCATAAGAATATAAGTGTTTCCTCATGACAAAGCTTAGTATTATTACAGGGTTAGGGTATGTAGCTACATGAGAAAGCTAGAGTTATTAACTATACAACTATATATGCTAACTTTATTACATTAAAAGTAGCATAATTATCCAAATAGCTTAAAGTCTTTGCTAACATCCATATTTATATTGTAAACATCTATACTTGTAGAGCTATTGCTGCACTTAAAAACCCTAAAAAGGGCGTATCTAGTGCACGAGACTCTCGTCAATGCGGGGTCTGGGAAGGGTCAATGTACATAGCCTTACCCATAAATATTTAAAAAGGTTTCCGTGACTCGAACCCTGGTCTCTCAGGTCGCAAAAACCTTCTAACAAGGAAATTAACGAGTTTGAAATTTATCTTTGATATTTAAGAAATATATGAAAAAATGTTAGTCTCATGTTATAGTAGTGTTTAATACTGGTACAGTTCATGTTATAGTATAGTACAGTGTTTTGAATGATTTTGATAGACTTGATTTGAATAGTATAACCCAAGGTTGACCGATTTCTTAATTGTATTGTTACAAATTTGTGGGAATAGCTAGAATCAACTAAAGTCGGATGGAGCCGACAAATTTTAGCCAATTTTAGCTGATAACAAAACCCGAAAATAAGAAAGAAAAGTGAGTAGGAGTGAAGGAGAAGAGAGAAGTTGAGATAAAGAGATACAAAAAATATAATTAGAATTTAGAATTGTAAGACAGAGGAGACACAATATTTAATTTTTATTGCAATCATTACATATGCCAAGTACACTTATAGTTGCAATATCCTTTAGTCAATGTCATATAAGATAGAGAGAAGCTATGAAAAACAGAAAAGGGAAGAGCGGAGAGGAGTCTTTAACCTCTTAAGGAAACAGGATTGATTCTCTCGAAAAATAAATTCCAAGCCATTATTTATTTATTTTTTGTATTTTCTGCACTATAATTGAAAATGATTAAAGAAGCAATGGAGTTATAGTGGGACTTATGGATATATTCAAAGTTACATATTGATAAATTTTGAATATTTTGTATGGTATATAAAATAGTTATTATGAAATATATTTGTGCAATTTAATTTATTTGCTCATAAACATATAGTAATTATCTTTAATACAACAATAACAATGACAAGTCGACAACAACATATAGTAATTATCTTTCATGATTCTTTTATTTTTTTGTTTTTTATAATATTTTTATCGTTTATATTTTTAGTATCACAGATAGTTATTCTTCAGCATCAGTTTTTTTTTTTGTCGTATATATATTTTCCCCATGCTAATGTCACCGCACGTCTGACAAAGTGGACCAATGGAATTATTCTCGTATGCCATTTTTGCAGACACCACCTGTGCCTAAGGCTTCTGATATGGAGACCTCCAGGCAAAAAACTGAATGTGCTTCTGCCGAATCACTTATGCCGACCATGCAGGAAATATCAACGATTCCATTAAAGACTGGGCATAAAACTGAAGATAGCAGTATGGACAGGAGTAGCAGGTAAAACTCAACATGGTTTTTGGTTTGTTATAGATGATTCCAGCAATTTTTTGTACTCCAAGCAATCCGGTTGATAAGCAAAAATAGGCAAAGAGCTTAGCATAATATCCTATCTAGGACATTATCAATATTGACAATGTACTTTTATTTGTGAAAGCCCCCCCATCCCATTCAGCAGTTGATTTTCATTCACGGGAAGTTTATCTTGCTATATCTAGTCTATGACATTATGGGCCATAAGCTCATGACTTTTATTCTTTTTCTAGTGTTATCAAGTGAATGAATGCATTGTGGGTCTGATTAGGACTGGAGGAGTTTTGAGAAACGAGCCTTGTATGATAGTGTATACCACCAGTTCTAAATAGATCGCAAATCTTTTCTTAGTCATATATGTACTCGGCATTGACTAGCAATTTCTTGTGCCTTTTCAGCAAGTCTGCAAATGCTAACGAGGAGATCCAGTCCAAAACCAATCCAGTGTGGAATGCAATAAAAGCTTTTGTGACTGGTTTTATCAAGTTTTGGTCCGAGTAGAGGTCTCCCATTATAAAAAAAAAAGTGTCATTTGAATCCTTTTCAGGTTTAGTCATGAAAAGATGAATCCACTTAAGCTGATATCTACTTTTTTATCCATTGAAGGATGCTCTTTTCTTGTGCATCGATCTCAATTCAGTGCTCTCGGTCGTGCCTAGTTACCATGGAATATGCACGCCTCTGCTCTTGTTTTTGCTATATTACTTGTGTTGATGCTGAAGCATGCGTCGGGGTTCCTGCTTACCAAGAGTAGGATGCAGCTGTAGTCAGGTATCATGAATCGATACCAATTCGCACAAGAAAAAAGTTAGCACCTGGTGAACTGGAAGTGGTGAAGCTGAACCGGCTGAGTTTGTTAAGATTGCTGGAAACATCTTCCAAGTTGCAGTGCGCTGGACATCAGGTTGTGCCGTGTTGAGACATTGCTACTATTCTTTATGCACTTTTTTTTGTGTTTTTTGTTCCAAATGATTGCAGATGTCTAAGATAGTATGGCATCTTTGGAGATGCTTCATGTCTGTCTTGCAGTTTCCTTTCACTGATCATCTCCTAGTCATAGTTTTGCCCTCCTTTTCATATCCACCCTTTCCCATTTTTATTTTTATTTTATTTGTTCTGTCCCTAGATCTGAATTATGGCTTCTTCCTACTTTGGAAGGTCAGCGTTGTAACAAAAGCAGCAGATGACTGACTCTATGCATTATTAAAAAGCGTATCATCTTTGTATTATTCCAGGCAAAGGTGGATTTGGACAATTCATAGAGGAGGAATAAAAATGTTCAAAATTAAACCATTATATAAATTATAAATTTTTGTTTATTGAAATCATAAGTCATAGTATTTTTCTTCTCTTTCTCTCAGTGGGCATAGAAGTAGGAGGAGATTATACGGGGTTTAGTTTTAGTTTGGATGAATGAGGTTTGTTTCTTTTTTATCATCAATCCTCCAAATGTAATAAATTTCAAAGGCCAACGGCGGCGTATTTGTGTCGTTACCATTAGTTGAGACGTCCCCAATTAAAGAATAAAAAGCTAATAAACTTAGACGACGAAGAGGAGGAATATTACAACAACAATAACAACAACAAACCATTGAGCTTAAGATATAACACCGCAAAGCATAAGCATTCATCGCATTGTAAAGAAAATATATGTTTTAACTTGGAATATGCAAGAAGAGGCTATCAGCTCAAATGGTTGGCGTTGACGTATCATTTTAAATCAGATTAAACCGTGGATTACACCCCCAAGCTTTGGAGTGCACAATACAACTCCGGCCACGTACTTGGAAAACATAATCTTCTACATATCTCTGGCCATATCAGTCTTCCTCAGATTGATACTAATATCTCCCACAGTAACGTCGCCCGCACGAAGAACCAAAGAGACCACCAGCTTTTCAGCGTCATCGGCATTCATGTCGTCCAGCAGTGAGGTGAGACCCAGCTTGAGACCTGCCGTCCTCACGACGACGCTGTCCTCCCTTTTGTACGGCAGCTTCAGGAAGATGCCTGCGAACTCCCCAAGACCCGGCCCTGCGAGGTCGCCGCGCGGGGCAGCGATGTAGACATCGAAGCGAGTTGCCCTTCTCGGATCCACCTGTATGCCGTTGATCTGAAGTACCTCCACCTCCTGCTCCTTCTCCGCCTTGGTGCGGCTCTTCTTGGGCCTCGCCACCAACACCCGGAGCGGCCTGGTGGGGTCCAACCTCCGGGGCTGCGTTCCGAACTCCTCCACGCGCAGCAGCTCGTCCTCGGTCTCCATCGCCGTTAGCTTGGACGAATCCACCTGCATGCGGCAATTACCAATCAGAATCGCTGGCCTATCACGGCTTGGGCGTGCGTCGTGGCTATCTGTTGGAGATGTAGATCTAGATCCGAGGGCGTCACCGGCTCCGCGAGCACGATCGGCCCCGCGGCCACGCTGCATAGCCCTCCCAAACCGACGATCAGCAAGCCTCGCCGTTGCAGCAGGGTCGGCCGAGGATCCTCGCTTCGATCGTGGCTTCCCCGGTGGCATGACACGCGAGGGAGGCGGAGGGAGCGCTGTCGCTGGAGGAGGCACGCAGAGGTAGCGCCGGCGACAGTGGCGCTCAGCACGATGGCCGCTCCGGTGGACATGTCGACTGCGTTCGAGGGTGCTGGGAGCTGATTTGCCCAAGGGTGGTGGCGACCAGAAAAAGGTTTCTCGGATGGGGGATCTAATGAATGCGAAACGTGGAATTATTTTGGATTGGAGTTGAAAGATATCTCACACACGCCGGTACGAATTCCGGGGTTTCGTGTCGCCTCTCTGTTGGCACGATATCGGGTCACCCCAGGAAATTTTCTTATGCTGGCAGCCCCGCACACGAAATTTACAAGGTAGCCAACCAAACGGAGACACCTAAGCCTTATCACTATGATGAATGAATCGTGGCAGGGCCCTGTTCACGGGGTGCGTGTATCATCAATCAAAGGAATCCCGATAGAAACCCGCGAGATAAACGTGCTGCTATCCAACTGTCGTAGACAATCACAGATCCAGACGACCAACCTTGGTCCGCCCGCCAATGGGATATCGACGGGTCGGTACATGCCACGTGGGCACTGACGGGTCGGTACACATATGGCCTGGTCCAATATGGCTCGGGCCAACCTTGGCGCAGCCCACAGGCTTATTTTTCCTGATCTAGACGGCTCCAAGAGGCGGCGGTATGGGCTTTAGAGACGGGTCGTCTGTGGGCCTAAGGAACCGGGCGAAGATGGGCCGAGAATGGGTCTATTTGGGCTGAGCCTATACTAAGCTGCCTCCTGCACGAGTCTCTTGAGCTGGGCCGCGCTTCTATGGAAGACCGAAGACGGATCGGAGCCACTGGCTAGGCCGCTGGGTTAAGCAGGCCCACGTCATACCAAACTCGAGCCAATGTGGCAGTCAGCGGTCTGAACTTGGTCGGACGCACTCCGACCCCTTAATTGCGATTTCATTCTAGTGTTTAATTAATTATTAAATATAATAGATAGATAATCTCATTTAATTCAAACAAAGTTATTTTAAAATTTTAATTTAATTAAATATTATATATATATATATAATAAAATTCCACAATCAATCAATCAATCAATATGTTAATTTATATTATTCAACATGCTACCAAATTATTAATTCAACTTGATTTAAAATGCAAAAGTTTAAATTTCATGAAATTTATTGATCAAATAAATCAACATGCCAAACTAGTTGGATCAACTTAAAGAATAATGGAAAAAAATTCATTAATTTAATATGATGCTATATTTAAACTAAATTAATGACATGATAATTCATGGATCTTGCTAAGATAATTTCAATATCCAAATGTCTTTAATCAGAATTCAAAATTTCTAAACCAATGAAATTAATATCATTACAAAACCAAGATTTTTCATGAATGCATTGAAAATAAATTGAGAAAGGGTATATGATCTACCTTTCTTTCTTCCTGATGGATGGATGTAGAGGACCTTCTCCTATCTCAGTCCCCCCAACTATTACACTCCTCTTGATCCAGTAATGAACAAAGTAGGAGCCTCACCTCCTTTATATAGAAGAGCAAGGTGGGTGGGTTCCTCTCAAGGAAATAAAAAATTAAAATTAAAATTTTGTATTAATTAATTAATTAATTAATTAATTAATTAATTTCCAAACTTGACCAAACCATTAAGGAAATATATTTTAATTATTTTGTTAATCATATTACACAAAAATGGAATACATAATCCACATAAAACAAAACACTAATTACGATAATTTTAATTTTTAAAAAGATACAAAAAAATCTCTAGTGATTACACAAATTAGGATGATGTCCATGAATAATAATTGATTATAACATCAATGAAGTGCAGATTTGATCTTGACAATCATCAGACTAGGAGATATCGAGATTGAAAAGATTATCAATAGATTATATTTCAGTTAAAAAAAATATGATCAACACGATGTCAACGAGTTTGATCACGCTCGAAAGAGAATATCGAAGGTATGGATGATGATTTTTTGAAATTTGTTTGGATCTTATTATTACTTAGATTTAATAGAAAAGATTACTAGAGATGAAATATTATGATGAGAAATTTTTTCAGATCGAAATGAAATAGTCTTGGATGGTTTAAAAGATGTAAAAGATGATAGAAAATTTTAATAGACTTAAATATCAAAGAGTACTGAAGTATATGAAAGATGTGTATATCCTACTATACTATCTGAAAATAAATTAGAAGAAATGCCTGATGTAGAACTAGAAAAAAAGTCAAGATGGACTATAAAAACAGTAAGATCTCTCGAGGAAAAATGAGATGAAAAAGAGGCCTCCTTAGTTAAGACAACAAATTTCTCTTGCTATATTATATATAGATGACATGTTAATTGTTGGTGGTGATACTAAGAAAATTGTAAATCTAAAAGGATTGTTGAGCAAGACTTTTGTTATAAAAGACTTGGGTTGGCTAAACATATTTTTGGTATAAAGATTACTTCTAAAGAGATTTAACACAAGTCAAAACCTGTTTGATAAAGAAGATATGAACAAAGATAGTAACTTTATGTTCATATACCATTCAATCTATTTCACTTATATTTTTCTCTCTAACCTATCGATCCCGACATCAAACACGTCCCCAACATAAATCTTTGCTGTCATCTACCTACCTAATTCTGTCTTCACGAAATCCAACTTGTGACAAGACTCAAAAAAGTCAGACCTATGTTTATATATGGAGACCCTTTGACGACAAGTCTTATAATCAAAATCTGATTTATCAACTTCAAAGGAAATTTTTTTCGTCCAAAGTCGAATTAGTAGAGAAAACCTCTTTTTCTTTTTCTATAAGATAAAAGTTTTACGTCACAACAACCTCCTTTTCATTACACCAAAACTCAGCCCTCATTGAAATAAAATATTACAAGGAAGACTACTTTTCTTCAAAATGGCTGAGATCATGAATTGCTCACACGATGGCATCACATTGCGTTTGTGCTCTTGATAATACACCAACTTCACAGTAATCATGTATCATATGATCTCCCGATTTGGCTGCTTGCATCTATCAGTGTTTGACAACCCTAAAACAAGCTGGTTATGATGCAGTACTCTCACAAGGGAAGTTCATATCCTGCTCTTTAGCTTCTTAAGCAGAGGGAACCTTCTCATCGCAAAATATTAAACCAGTCCTTGAGAGCAATACTAAGCACATTAGAGTTATCCTCTGTGCTCCAGCAGGAGCATATACAAAATTGTCAACGTGACCACCTACACACAGATGAGATTGTTCTTCTATCCCCATCATGTGCGAAGCTCAATAAAAGACCACCAAGCCAATTTATAGTTTTTGTAAGCTTGCTTGTAGGTAGCCATCCATTAACAAATTATTGCCCAGCTATACTCTCCTGATCCTTCTTAATCAGCTACAAACACCAACTTGGAAGGCATCTCAAGTACTTTGCTGCTTTTGCCACTCACTCTGATAATTAACCACCCAGATTAAAGACTAAAATTTCCTTGAATTTAGTTAGTAAAAGGTTTCATTCGAATGCATCATGATGTCATCTAAGCAAAAGATGCTGTGGTTATGAAGGAAACCACACAGCTGAGAAGCTAAACTATCTATAATGCCCTGTGTAATCCAATGTTGAGATCAGATGATATTGATGTGAGAAGTGGAAGTGATTGGTGCCATACAGCTTTAAAAACTCGTTTCTGGTGAGCCTGCACCGATTGTGAAGGCTTTCGTCCATCGTATCTAATATCGAAGATATGAATCATGGGGTCTGCCGAACCAGATGTTATATATAGACCATCAGGAGACCATGCCTGATTAATCAGAGCAGATTGGGATTCACTTGTTTCCTGTTTCCACCCGAAAGCATGAATTTCTGTCTGCCTTAGCCGTACATCAAACAACCGAAGCTGTCTCCCAGGTTCCCTGAGAAATGCAAATAGAGCATCAACTGGTCAGGAAAAGGAAAGAATCTGCATTCCTGATAGAATACATAGTAATTGATTAACAAGAAATTATACAGCATGAAGCCAAAATCCACATCTGGGGGCATCTTCAAAGATGATTCTATTTGGTAGTTGCCTTTCTTCAGACGGTTTTCTCTAACAGCATGCTCAATCAACATACTAAAGGCCAGTCAAAAGAACTAAAGCCAACAACTACACGTGACAAATTTTCTGATCATATCTTCTGGGTCTACAGAAACTAGCTTGATTATCTAGTTGAATGCAATGAGTCGCATACACATTTTATAGCTCCATATACACTAGAATTTCATCTCTTATCTCCACCACAATAATTATAAGTGTACACAGCAAGATCCAAAAATTTGGTTGATCACAATTCCACAAGGTCCACCAAATTACAATGTTCCATGTCGACTCCGGAAATTGGGAATAGGAATCGAAATAAGATGATCTGTAGGGATCAAATCAACTAGCATCCAATGAAGGATTGGCTGGGGTTTGCTAATCTGACCAGTGCTTATATTTTCCCCATAATGAGGCATCACCAAGGTCCATCTAGTTTTTATTTTTAAACAGCACTTTTATCTTTTTGGTATCCTATTGTTTGGGTTATTTATGGCTGTTTAATTTCATTTTGCCAAAACCTTATCCTGCAATCTAGACTGGTTAAACCAAAGCAATTTTTTTTCTCGCGTTCAACACCATAATCCTCCCATATGTACGTACCCTACGGTGAACTCCCAAATCTTACTGTTGCTTAGCCCCAACGTCCCATAGAATGAAAAAGAAAGCGAGAGCTTTCTTAGAAAAACCCTTGATCCTTACCGTCGAAGAGAATATAAGATTGGTTTGTACATATTTTCTCGATTTGTTAGGGACCATTTCTGCGTAAATATCATTACAACTGCATCAGCTAAAGGGTCCCTAACAACATGGCAGGTAGATGGTCAATAGCACCTTAGCTACCAATTTAGCACTCAATATTTACTAAAACATTTGGTTTACATCATGATATAAGTTATTTGCTTATTCATGTCACTGTTGTGCTTTCCTTTCTTCTGTAAGCTTGTAAACCTTCTGACAGCTATTTGAGCAATCTAGAATGATGACTATTCTATCTAATTCTTGGATCATTACATCCTTGCTTGTTATTTGCATCACAACTACTTAGATCAGTTTAAATGTTTTGCATGTATATTTACTTGGTTGTCCTATCTTAAGGCTTGTTTTCCAAATTATTCATGCTTATTCGAATAAAAAATAAAGATACAGAATCAGAAAAATAAGCAAACAGAAAAAACTTGTTAGGCACCATACAGAAAAGAAGGAAAATTTCTTTCCAGATATCAAGGGTGCAAAACTATTTGGCCCATCCCTAGAAATAGTCATATTTCTTTAGTAAATTATTCAGAGAATTTAACTATCAATTTATTTATGATGCTCAATGCATGAAATCATTGCTAGTAGACATTTAAGGCTGAGCACAACTTGTTGGGAGATTTCACAAGACTGGCAAAGAAGAGCTTGCATGGCAAGGTTATAGTAAGCCTTGGTTTAAAAATTAATCCAGAAAAGATAACACAAGCATGAGTATCATAATTTATAAATATAGAAGCATTAACAGTTGTTAAAATATTAAATTTTATAATTTTGTTGATTCAATTTTATAAGTATTATTGTCCAAAAGTCAAACTGAATATACTAAGAAACTCTAGGACCCAATCCCAGATGAAACTAGAATAGATAATATAGAAGACACAGTTTTACATTTTATTTTGCAGAAACAATATATTCTAATATTAAAATATTCTAACGGACTATAAATAATAAGACTTCAATGGAATCATTGCACAAGCTTATTCACTTACCCTGCTTGCACCATGAACAAATTGAAGTCACATGGGTTTGGCAGCACACTCATGCATTTGCTTTCTATTTGATTTTTGAACTCAGATCTTCCTGATAACATATCAAACGCAATTATCCTTTTGTCTGCACCAACAGATAGTACAGTCTTCTTTTGTTGCAATCCAGCAACTCCCATGACAGCAGAAGAATGCAGATTCCCATGTATTGTCTTGGGTTTGCATGAATCATCTATTTCTTGCCAAAGTATCACAGCATGGTCACTCCCACCAGTTACGAAACATAAATCAATCCACGGCATGAACATTATGCTATTTATAATGCCTTTTTGATGAGGCTTTCCTTCCAAGAAAGTAACCTTTTTCTGTCCAGACACAATCAATGTGATCTTGCATTAGTATCTAACTTACGTGTCTAGCAATTCCAGTGAGAGATTACAGATATCAAGATTTTGAAGACACTAATAAACAATGTGGAGCCTATATCACCAACTAAATACACTACAATTCAAGGATCACAATTCCATTTAGGTGCATTAGTCATAACAACACATGGCACAGGTTGACATGCCACTAGCAAAGCCAGCAATGCCATGCACTTAGTGTGGTTGGACATGATATATCTACCATCTTTCAAGAAAAATACAAAAGAAAATTTACTATCTTCAATTTTATAATTTTGTGAGGGAAAGGGAATGAAACAACTTATCTCCAATGAGCATCCAGTAGCCGGTATGATAGCTAGTATTGGGACAGTTCAGCAACAAAGAAATTACCACTATGACCAACAATAAAGCAAGCTTGCTGGAGCATCAATGATGTCAGGTAGTTTTTGGCAGAGGATCTTTTTTTTGCTTTATTTTTTTCATGCGGGGAAGGGCAAGTTCTCCCGTGATATCCACCAATTAGCATGCACTAGCATGAGTAGTATATTCTCATCCATAGAATTAAACACATGTTACATACATCATAATGTGGGAGACCTTGTCAAGAATAATCTATCACTAAATGTGAAATCACCACTGTGACGCACAATCAGCAAGCTGGCTAGAGCATCAGTGATGTCAGGTAGTTGTTGGCAGAGGATCTTTTTTCCCTTTTTTTTCATGTGGGGAAGAGGCAAGTTATACCAGTGATATCTACCGATTAGCATGCACTGTCATGAGCAGTATATTCTCATCCATAAAATTAAACAAGTCACATACATCATACTGTGGGAGATTTTGTCAAGAATAATATATCATTAGATTGAAATATGAAGCCAACTAGCATGTAAAACTCTGAATACTTATTATACAACAGCAAGTTATCAACCGATGCTCGTAGTCTAAACCCTAAACCAATTCTGCTACTTATCTGCTAAGGAGTATGAAAGAACAAAATGTAGAATCATTCTCCACAAAATGGTGAAAATTGAATGGTATGGAATTATGTCCTGAAAATTCCAAAGGGGTTAAATTTTACCTGCCAGACTCAGTACTACTGTCCTAGAGATTAATCAGACTATTCTGAAATTGTCCAAAGATATTTCACATAGACAATTCTAAAATTTGCATCAATGGGTATGTTTGAGTTGGAAACAATTTATTTCTTGAAGTTTTTATGCACAAATTTCTTTTCCATCATTTACTGATATTCCTCATAAAACTAATTTTAACAAGATAATGTTAAATGAGACTATAAATAAGGCAATACAAGAAACAAGTCGTCCGCGGCTTCAGGGTAATCAGCCAGATCAACATGGCAGAAACATATGGCAACAACTCAAATTCATAAGTCTTGGATTACTTTAAGCTTAGCACAAATAAAGGGATAAAACTTGATAGTTAACTGTGAATAAAAGAAAATCAATTCTGGATTAAACTCAAAGGAAAATAAACAAACAAATTAGGGTCATAAAAATATAAAATATGTTATTTAATAAGTAAATAATCAAAAATTAAAAATCATGTATGCTAATGATCATTTTTACCTTCATATTCCATAGAATATCTAACTTGTAAGAAATGGGAACTAAACATAAATGATGAGGAACTATATAAAAATCATGCTGAAAGTTATTAGTGAATATGATATATGTATGTCATGAAATAAATATGATATATGTGTTGTGAAAGTAAGTAATAATCATATAATACAAAGTTTTTTTACCAACATATTATACCAAGTTACTATGTAAGAGATGACTCTTTCATATATCATATAAAAAGGCCTAAAACCTTCCATTTACCACTTTGATGAGAGCTCAAGTCCCCATTCCCAGCACCTCTTTAATTATCATGCAAATGAAGCATTAGGCAATGCAAAGGCATGCAAAGAAAGGGATCTTCGAAGCAAGCACAAATGGGATTCAGGATTAATCCCAAATCCAATGGCATTGCCATACTCTATCATGGAATCCCTTTATCCTTCCCCTTCCCCCTCCATCATTTCCTCTGATTCGATGTGGTGGCAGAGGACAAACGTGATGATAGTGGTGGCAAATAGTGAATGCAATGAACCAATGACATTTGATCATTGGACACGATATCAACGATGTCTCCTCAACTTCATGGTCATAGTAACAGGTTTGTTCGTCTTTCCTTTCCCATTTCCTCTTACAATTGCAACCTATGGTAGTTATCAACCCTTTGTTTATCTGCTTTTTTCCTCTTTGAAGGATAGCAGCTTCACGTATTTCTGCCATTGTACCATCTCTGCTGTTAGGGGGTGAAATCTCACGGCAACAGATGGCCTCTACTGAGAGAAAAACCTGAATAATTCATGTGGCATCCATGCAACAAAAAACCACTTAATAATTAGCAACCCGGTTGGCTAAATCAGTTGTCAATGATCACAACTGTTTAAAGGGCATAGAAAGTAAGCTAAGAGGAAAACTCTTTTTTGGCTCAGACTCATTTATTACCTGTTGATTACATATCAATCATGCACGAACCTAACTGATGGAGGAAGACCCCACTGGAACCTATTGGTCTAATTCTTGCAAGTCATGACATCATTGGTGAGACCCTTTTCGGGACAGGTGATCCAGAGAATATAGCCCAAATTAATTGCTAGAATCCATCTACGTGACCAACCAAAAAATGTGTTTAGACTTCACAACAAATAGCACTTGTAGAAGAGACCTTCGATTGATCTTCTGTGCTGAAACTATGTGGTTTTAGTCTACTCCCAAAAGGTTGCTTGACCTCTATCACACCCCCGAAAGTGTTAGGGTATATACTACATGCCAAAAAACCATGTGGCTCCATGATGCATAGCAGACCATTAGCCACCCAAATGTTGGTTATATCCATTGATTATGATCGCAGCTAAATGAAGGGCACAAGAAGAAAGCTAGGGGAGCTTTTTTTTCATCATCGACTCTCTCTCTCAAGAGGGAGCTGTGTTAGTATGGCAAGATATAAAGTTTATGATATTTTTATAACAAATTACGTACTAAATATGAAGAAAAAAATATATATCAAACTGCTAAAGCTAGGGAAAGAAAGTGTTGGGATTTAGGTAATATTAGAAACATTAAAGATAAAAAATCAAAAATTACATGTTAATGATAACGAAATCAAGAAAAGATGGAGAAGTTATTTTTATAAATTATTTAATGATAATTCCACAAATGACTTAACTTTATTGATGGATAATAATGGTAGATCTAATAATCATATATTTGTTCATAAAATTTGCTAGTAAAGTAAAGAAGCCTTGTAAAAAGATAAAAATAGCTAAGAGTGTAAGACCTAACGGGATCCTTGTTGAGGTTTAAAAAAGTTTAGGGGATCAAGTAATAACTTAGTTATATTATTTAGCCAAATTTTGAGATTTAGAAAAATGCATGATGAATGAAGGAAGAGTTGTTTTAGTGTCAATTTACAAGAATAAGGTTGACATACAAAACTATTTTAACTACAGAGGAAATAAGATCACAGATCATATAATGAAACTTTAAGAAAGAGTTATTGAAAGTAGGATAAAACCTTAAACAAATATCTCTAAAGATTAATTTGATTTTATGTTTGAAAGATCAACAATAAAAACTATTTATTTATTAAGATAACTAATGAAAAAATATTGAGAGAAAAAGAAATATTGATATTGATTTAGAGAAAATCTAGGGTAGAGTTCTTAGATATTTATTATGGTAAGTTTTAGAAAAGAAAGATACATCAACTAATTATATTGATATTATTAAAAATATATATGATAATATAGCTACTAATATTATGAGGAGTATGTCTAGTGAGTTTTCTATTAGTATAGGACTATATCAAGGATTTACATTAAGTTCCTACCTTTTCACATTCATAATAGATGAATTTACTAATTATTTACAGGAGAGATCCCTAATGTATGTTATTTGCTGATAATATTATCTTCGTTGATAAGAATCTAAATAAAATTAATTTAAAATTGAGTTATGGAGGCAATCCTTAAAAACTAAAGTTTTAGATTAAATAGAACAAGTATATGAGATGCAATTTTGATAATACTTAAGTTAGATGGGCAAGAGGTTCATTAAGTAATATATAAGATGCAATTTAGTAATACTTAAGTTAGATGGGAAAAGTTCTATTAAGTAACCTTAGGCATCTTGGATCAATAATTTAAAAAGGTGGAGATTAATAAAGATATTAGTCATAAAGTAAAAACGCGATAGTTAGAATGATAAGGGGCATCAAGAACCTTATGGTATCATCGAGTATCTTTAAAATTAAGAAAAAAATTTATAGGACAGTTGTTTAACTATTAATACTTCATGGATCTTAATGTTGGGCACTTAAACGACTTATATAAAAAATAAGTTTGTGTTGTTGATTTGAGAATGTTGAGATGGATGTGTAGAGTTACTAGGAAATATAGAAAAAAAATATTTTTATTCATGAACAATTATCTATCGCTTTAATAGAGGATAAAATGAGAAAAATACGTTTAAGATGGTAAGAACAAATGCTTGAGATACCTAGAGATGCGGTAGTCAATGAAATGACTCTTGTTAGTGGTATGAGAGGAAGAGAAAGACCTAACAGGACATTAATAAAAACTATACATAAAAATTTAAATACCCTTAGTTAAATATATGGTTTTCTACATTCATCAATGATAGTAAAAGATCTATACAACCAATCCCTTAGGACTTTATGGCTTTGTTGTTGTTGTACTCTCTCCCACACACACTCACATTTATTGTTTATTTTCTATATCTCAATCAAACATTAACTTGACTATCGAAGAAGACCGACCAGTACAACTCTAGCAGCTTAATGGTCTTTTCTCTTGCAGATTGTGATCTTTTTTATTATGGATCATGATGTCATCAGCAGCATCTTATTCAGTACACATGAATTAAAAAACATGACCCATGTCATTTTCTAATTGCTCATTCAGCATGTATTGGTATTCCATTGACATGTCGACCATGGGTACAAAAGACCCTCTTATTTTATGGTAATTTTTCACTTGACTTGATAGTACTTGGATTCAATCCAAATTTAAAACTTCTGTCGATCTTGAAAGGTTAGGGATAGTCTTGATGGATCCTCAAGCTTTCATGCACAAACCAGCTTCAATTGATGATTTCTTTACTTTTATCATAACAAACACAATCAGATTCTCAAATTTTCTCTCTCAAACAGGATAATGCAAAATTAAATGAAACATCTTATTAAGAATCAAATACACGAGGGCGAGCTCTGTTATGATGGCAAGGTTGCACCTTGAGATCAGGGTGATCAAGATTTGAGTCATGGAAACCTCTCTTATGTAGGGGTAAGGTTGCTGATTCATTCAATTTCGAAACTCTGCATTAGGTTTATCCATTAAGAATCAAATATGTGCCCCACAACCAGATCAAAAATTATAATTTTTTGTTAGGACACTGCTTTCACGTTTGCTTTCCTTTTGATTAGCAAGTGAAGAGAAAATAAGGTTGCTTCAATTTGCTGATTAAAATTTGTCATTTTTACTGCACATAGAAATAAAAGATAACATGCCAACTAGGTATCTACACAAACATAGTGCATAAAATGATAATACATGGGCAAGAGAAAGAAATAGTAAAGCACCGAAGATGTGAAAAAGAGTAATTCTATATTGTCTAAATTAAAGATAAGTGCAGTACAAATCAATGTAACCAAATGTATTGTCACAGACATGGATGCTACCAGCATGCCAAATCTGGTAATGTGATGTGGAAGAGAGCATGCCATCAAGACGTGTACATATCAAGGTAACAAACAGCACCAAACAGCAAAGTGATTTCAAGGTGAATAGTAGAAAGTCGCTATCAAGCCTACCCTTGAAGGTGCTATACGCCCAAAGTTGGATCACTAATAAAAATTATGATTTATTCCATAAAAAAAGAAGTTACTATGACAAAGAATTCTAATATTAAATGTTCACATAAAGTTACCAGGTAAGTTCCATGCAAAGTGGATGTTGTACAATATTAAAATATCAAAGAGCAACATGATTGTTCACAAATTATAAAATATTAAAATGTTAAATTATCACTTGTGATCAATCTATCATGTGACCATAAAATATTAGAAATATAATACCAGAGCCATCCAATGTATGGACTTAAAACAAGAAATCTAATAGTGAATGTTTGGTGGAAGGCAGTGTTCCAAGGTGCTGAGTGGAATAGAGCATGAGACACAGAAAGCATTAAGAATGTAGAAGAGAGAATGAGGAAGAGATATGTGGGATAAGAAGAATGCAACTTGACAAACAATTTTGATCCTTCTGATTTTTATCTTGACCACAAAATGGAAGAGTTGGATCCAAAACAACATTTGAACTTTTATCTTAATCACAAAAAGTTATAGTAAAAAAATTAAAGACTAGTTTCTTTAATTTATGGACTTTGTGCAATGGTATAACTGCATATATTGACCAGGGTTCAAGTCATAAAATCAGTATTGCAGCCTGAAGGGATAAGATTAAAGTAATTGGCCCTTTAGAGACCCTACATAAGTGGAAGTTATGTGTATTAAGACACCCATTTTTTAATTTTATAAGTGGCCACTAAATGCCCTCAGTATAGCCACTTCTTGACCATTATCGTTGCTGCTGATCTATTACATGCACTATAGTGACTAGCCCTTTATACTACTATGGCCACTTTCTAAAACATCAATGACCAGTGAACATCCACAAGCCCATTTGACTGTCACGTATTTAAACATTCATGGTAGTTTGTGTACATGTAGCAAGTCAGTATACTAATCATTCACAGGACTCCAAATGAGTCTGTTCTTGAAATCATGTATTAAAAAGCATATACCATCACATTCATGCCCTAGAAGTCGAAAGAAAATTAAAGAGAAAAGAAAAGTTACTCAACTTTCAAATCTATCATAGACATTAGTTTTTAAAAATCATCTTACTTCTCGTGATGCATTCAAGTTCAGAACCGAGATCTGTGAGTCACCACCATCAGCAGTATAAGCAGCAAAGATTCTATCTCCATCTGGATGCCATGCTATATCTTCTGGCCATCTCCGTTGCTTTGGAGATAAACAATCCATGCTGCTTAGTAATGATGCATTGGATCTGCACTCACACAAGTACAGCACAATGAATGACAACTGAAATTATAAAGTTAGAAAGTTTGATTTTCGTTTGATTCAATGACATTCAAGAAACTGCAAAATTTGAAATTCAAAGTATTGGCTTAATTTTTGCTTTTGACCAAATCTTTAAAGCTTTGGTTTTTTATTTTGACAATTTCTACTTGACATACAATGACATTGAAAAAAAAAATGCAGTTTCAAAGTAAATTAATTTCTGTTGGACGATTTCAAGCTGAAACAAGGGAACATTTATAAACGGCAAAGAATTGTAGAAACAAATAGGTTCCTAGCATGGAGTCCTATCTACTCTCTCAGAAGCATATATAATCCAATATACCTATGAGCAATAACTCATTTCTATTTTTTCAGATATATTTTTAAGTTAAAAAGTGAAAGAACAGAAAATTTTGGTTTCATATAATTTATATGGATTGGTTGTGTAACAATCCACTAGTTTCATTTTGTTCAAAACAAGATATAGGACTGATATGTGTAGATTTAGTGGCTTAGTACTAATAAGAGTAAACACAGTACACAAGGTTCATGCCAATTCAGGGTCTATTGGGGAATAAGCGCTCACTATTAGTGATTTGGTTTATACATTGTAGGGATTGTTGGCCATGATCCACTACATACTATTACTATCAGCTAGTAGACTACTCAGGTTGTTACAATGATATTAATCCAGTTCTGTCAGCCACTCTGTGTTAACTAAGCTGTGTCAAGATGGCATACTTTGTGCACACTGAGATGGTCTTATCTTGAGATAATAAAAAATTATACTTTTAAATGTGTCTTCTAGGCCTACCCTTAACATGACATCAAACACCTTGAATGGGAGATTGTGATATCTCAACTTTTAGTCAAACATTGGTAAGGTTTACATGACAGGATACTCATAGCAGAAACTGATCTATCAGTATCATATTGATAGTGTCATGCGTAACAAGACACCACCGAAGAATTCTTTAAACATTAAGCAAATTTCATGTTCATTTAGCTCATCAAATAATCTTTAAAAAGTAGTAAACCATAATAATGGTTTGGTGTCTGAGCATATAGTTTGCAAACCAAACAGTATTAAGTATTATCACATTGTAGAGTATTGCTACACTGGTATAAATGTCTGTATGATGGATCCCATTTTAGATATATCATACCACACAGTATGTCCTGGAACAAAGCAAAGTTGCAAACTATGATGCCTTCACATGGCTACACAACAGCACAACATGAAAGAATAAGTGCCAACTCAGAATAAGTGCCAACAGCAAAATTTATCCATTTGATCCAGAGTACCAGAAAGATGATAACAATTGTCTAGATTGAAGGTCATACCGCATTCTTTTATCAAAATAAAGACTGGTTTGCCATTTATTTGGTGAAACATTCAAGTAAAAAATTGGGACCTGTTATGTAGATTATCTTGATATGTTATTTTTGATGAAAAAAATAAAGTCAGGCATCTTTTGTTCCAAAATAAAAATATGTTTTTGGTCTGAATAAGCCATGATATCCAGAAAACCAGATGCGAGCCCTGTTTGGATCTGGAAGTGTGTATCTGAATGCTGTTTGACACGGACCTGGCTTTTGTGCTACCTTTGCTGGTATGATTTTCAGAGTTATTTTGTTAAATTTCTTGTGACATATGATACAAAATTTAATATCTCAATAGGTGAATCAATAAATGGTATAAATCATCAATTTCATAAAAGTTTAACTTGACAACCTATAGGACAAACTTGTAAATACATTTCTGTGTTACCTAACATGTCTTGTAAAGCTGGTGGAACTTATTGTGCATAAGCATGTATCATCATTTAATGGCCTTATTATATCTTTATCTGCTTACATACTTTTCCCCCTGCTGCCCTGCATATAAGTTTCTAACATATAGCAAAGGAGAAGGTTAATGGAAAAGAGTTCTTCATTTTGTTTTATTTAGTGGCTAGCAACTTACTGGTAATAAAATTGTTGGGTTGCAGAAAATTTGTGTCTACGAGCCATATGATTTCTACATAATTACCAGATTTCCTCTCAACAATATTTATACTAAATACTATGACTGCTATCGTTATATAAACACATATAGGGCTCTTTTGACTAAACAAGTCATTTTTATCTTCCATTAAAAATAATTTTTTTCTCAATAATCAGGAATAGTTCAGTGTGCCTTCATGATTCTCTAGCAATTGCAATTGTACTTGATGTTTCCTACAAATAATTGTTTGACAAAGTTAGCTTATGAAATAGTTATTTCCATACCTAGAACTTCATAAAAGAAAAATAAATAATGGCAAAAGAAATTTCACCCTCAATGCAAATCTATTCTGCTGCAAAAACTAGAAAACAAATATAGATGAAGGAAAAGACTAGGAGTTCTACCCTTTGGCCTGCACTTGCCATAAGTTGACAACTCCATCCAAAGCGCTGCAAAGTACAATTTAAGTAAGCCACCAAGACTAAAATCCTGAACTAAGAAGATCAGAAATCCTAAATAATCATTAAGATGTAAATAAATGTGACTTGTTATGGAAATGGAAATGAAACAATGGAAAAATGGTTATCCAAGTTGAGCAATAGGGCAACTATACAATATAGAAAATAAATTTTAGGAGTTCAAAATGCAAGATTCAGTAATTAATACACATAAGAGCATCCATCACCACTTGCTATGTAACATATTGGTAAGACAAAAAATGAGGCACTACTGTTGCAAAATGTTTACTAGAAGTGAAAATATTTTTCTTTGTTCATGACAATCTCATTATCAGTCTCATGCTTCTTGATACATTTCCTCTTTTGTCCTATTGGAGGGCCTTCCCCTAATGTTCAAAATTTGTTACTACAATGAATAATAAATATCTTGCAGTTTTTTTCTAATCATACAGTACAACTAGTATTAACAGGCTAATTATGTGCTTGATCTGTCCTTCAAGAACAAAATCAAGCTGAGTCCTATCATAATCCTCTAGGAGTGCTTTTACATCCAGAAGGAGAATTAAACCAGTGGTAAAAGTGGATGTGTCCTAGACTGGAAGTACAACTAGGAAACTAGATTGGTGCTCATCAGTGAGCAAAAGTTGGTAACTTCAACCACTGTTATTACTTACACAGTGGTTTCTAACATTTAAAATTAGTTGGATGGTTGGCGGCTTTGTTCAAAGACAATATGGGTAAATCAGGGTTTGCAAGAGCAGAAGTCTTGAATAGATTGCTTGTCTTAGTAGACAATGCTATGAACACTTTTTGACATATAAAAGATTAGACCACCATTCTTGATCTTACAGAAGTTCAGAAGTAATCTCACCTTGTGTAATGCCTCATAAGATTCGCCAAGATATTCTGCATAAAATGGAAGCTTCAGCGAGTAACAGCAAGCTTTTGCAAGGTCTTCAGCCCTCTTATTTATTTAATAATCTCATATCTTACATTAATAATAGGGATCATTTTCGTTCAATATAAAGTCACTCAAAATGGTTATTGTTTTGTCATTCATTAAATGCCCTGTCCTTTTCATCATTCCATTTCTTTGCTTCAGTTTTGGACAAGTTCTTCATGTTAGCTGAGAAGTTGATGTAACAATTTTTTATTCATTTTATAAGGACAAAAGCAGCAATGCTGCAAACTTATTCATTGAAAGATAATTAAAAAGAAAAGAGAAAAGAAAACTGCAAAATGCATAAAGGGAGGACAGGAGAGAGATAATAGAGAAACATCCAGTTTACTATGGCCCAGCCATTCTTAATAGTCTTCTGGACTTTCCAAAAGAAATGCTCTTCTAATCCTATTCATTTCATTTATAAAATATCAAATATTGAAAATAAAGAAAAGTTAACCAGTAGATTGGTCAGCTGAGAATTGACAAGAACCAATCTTTCCAGAAAAAGATAGTAGTTTGAGATACCAACCTTCCAATGGTTTGAAACTTCTGGTCAAGAGGCATCTAGTATTTTATTGTAAGTTTATCAGGGTGTATTGGAAGGTCAAAATACTAAAGAGGAAACCAGTGGCCTGGTACTTGAAGATGGAGGCTAAACCATTACTTCTTTTAGCATGTAGGTCCATATAAATGGATTTTCTTACTAAAATTAAGAGCAAGCCAAGAGCAAAGTTTGTGGTAGTAAAGAATCACTTTAGGTCCAATAGAGTGTCATCCACAAACTAAAGGACAGTGCCAAACAGGGACTCTATCACCCGAGGAATGAGGGGCAAACATTATCTTGTAGTTTGGTATAGCTCAATATGCATTGAAGGAGAAAACACTGTATTGAATCTTCTGCAGAATTAAAATATTGCTTTTTTACCTACAATGCAGGCACTTCTGCATCAATATAGAACTCTGCTATTCTAAAAAGGTATCAACATATGCTGACACAAAACTAACAACCCCTAACAAGGGGGTACCTTCATCTTAATACAACAAATGAGGTCATATTTTATCTATTAATAAAGTAAAAGGTTCTAAAACTTTGGCAGCTTTCTTAAGAAATGTATCATTTACCATGATTCGTCTTACCGGTCCATACTGGTGTATTGATCAATTGTTGGTATGTTACGTACCAAACTATACCAACATAGTACGGTGGGGCATACTAACAAACTGGTATGTACCACTCGTACCAATTCCTTATCGAACTAATACGTACCACCCGTACTAGGCAGTACATTATGGTACGGCAAACGTTGCCATTTACAACATCAAGTTCGACAATTCGATGAGGTTTATCATTGAAATTTCAACAGTTTGCTCTGAAAGATGACCAAATACGTAAATTTTGATAATAAAATTTAATATCAGCATTTTATGAGAATCTGATTTCTTATCTCTCTTTCATTACAATTTCTGTGAATTGTATGGTTTTTCAAAATTATTTTGAAATAAAAAATTTAGGCCCCTAGAACACAAACACCAATATCTATACTCAAGTTTTAGTAAAGTAACTACATGTATTTGGTAACATCTAACAGCATAAGAAAATAAACAACACAACTTGAACTAGAATTTCTAGCTGGACATAATGGCAATTAGTGATTTTAACACTGACATATCAAAGTCAATCGAGTTGGATTGGCGGTTGGCCATGATGAAGTGACCTACTAAATTGGGGATGTTTAAACCAAGGGTTTAGATCTTCATTTAGTTCTATTTGGGGTAACCTAGACCTACTATAGTATTGTCATGAGGTGCACCAGTGTCCGCCTAGGTTCTTGGGAAAAGAGAGGTGAGGTCCAAGCACCTCAAATTGTTTCAGAAGAGGTGATTTGAATGGGTGCTGCCATAGGAGCATGCCTAGGCCTAGGCGTTGGGTGACCCAAGAACTCGCGTAGCCCAAAAGGAGAGTAGTTGAACCTGAACTAATTGGTAATTAGTTCAGTTCAACCAAGCCAATAACTTAACATCACACTCTCTCCCTCCTCTACCACCCCCTCCCCCTACTGCAGCACCCTCGGGAGCCCTAATGCCACCAACAATGATGCCCTCTTGCATACAATCACACGGCAGCCCCACACCATAGGATTTTGTTGCCTTTGGAGCCAGCCGAACTCCATTGCTCTTGTCCACCATTGCACATCTCCTCTTCGTCACCTCTGCATTCTGATATAGCTTGCTCTTGATTTTTTATCTCACCAATAATTCTTGTTAACAATAGTTGAGTCAATTAATAATAGTTAACTCTTATTAATAACAATAATATTATCTCTTATTAGGAACAATTTATCAATTGTGTTGATTACAAGATTTTTACTGCAGCTTTAGGATCTTGAAACATGGTAACATAGGTAATGCCTCACATTTTATTTTATTTTAATGTTTGCCTTTATCCTTAACGATTGTCACTATATTAATTTTATTTTAATGATTTTATCTTTAATTATATTTTTATAATTTTATATTAGTAAGCACCCTACTTTTCTCAAGCAAGCGCCTAGCGCATCTTTCAATGCCTAGTGTCTTTAACCAAGGTTTGCAATTTTGGTCCATACCGATGTACCGACCAATGGTCGATACAATGCGTACCAAGGCATATCGACAGAACGCTAGTGCATACCAACGATACGCCCAAAAAAATCGAAAATAGCTCCAAAAATACCTAAAAATAGAAGAAGAAAAATGTTAGATTAGGATTTTTAAATTGGAAATAAATAATAAATTTAGTATAATTTTAGCGAAAATAATCTAAATTAGAAAAGAATAGTGACACATATCTTTTTCGAGCTTTGAGGAGTAGTTTTGTGATACTTTCCAAATCGTCCTTTCATTAATATTGAATTATCTACAAATAAATGATTTGAATTGTTAGATTGTGGTATATTCGAGACCATCCTCATTGAGTTCCATGATCTAAATCTTGGGTGACATGTGTAAAATATTATTTTTCGGTCCATGCACCACCCTCAAATTGTGTAGACGGGACCATTGACTCCCCGACGTCGTCGCCATCATCAATTGAGGCAATGTTGTTTAAGTCATTGCCATGTCTCTGAATTGAGCAAGTTGTTGAATACAATTGAGAAATACTTTTTGATTCCAGTACTTGGTTGGACCAATAAACACCGATTGTTACATATTGGCCCATTGATTGGAGTCCTTGAAAGATTTTCAATACTTAAAGAAGTTACTGTACAATATACTAAAGCCACCATCACCATCAGGCCCAATGGCTCAACATTTTCAAGGTGTCCAATGAAAAAATGGCCCTTCCAAATTACCATTGTTTGCCACTCTAACAATCAAACAAGAAACCACTTGCCAAATAAAAGATAGTAATCATGAAACAGTATGCACCATGTTAAAGGTTCTAACAGCCAAAGACAAAACAAAGCAATCAGATCTGACCAAGAATATGAACACAAAAGATATTTTCAAATCAGACCAGCATATCGTGCATGAACTTAGAGGTCAGGCACTCAAATAAACTGTTGATTTGTATTATCTAAAGGATATTGCAGTTGCTAAATATAATAGACAATCAACCTGCTCTTGTGAAATTCTCAGTTACCTGGTGACGAAGAGATGATCATTGACTGGGCACAGCTCAAGACTTCTCAATTTCCTTTTATGCTGACTGGAAATTAAGGTTCCTGATTGAAATCTAATTATGCAAGGTGAAGAAGATGAACGTATATTGTGAATCAGATCCTGGTGTTCCTTCTGCTCTGCCAAGATTAACATAAAGAACTTTGTTGAGAGACATCAAGAGGAAAGCAATCAAATTTGACATCTAAAGAACATTTTTTTATTACCAAGCTTCCTCTTGATCCTCTTTTCTTTAGATCCAACAGGCCCACCCTTTTCAATGAAGGGCTTAGACGTCCCTGTACCCGCTGGCTGAGTAGAAGGGGAAGAATCCATTGGGCCGCCAGCGGCAGCAGATGCTTTTAGTTCTGGCTTCGCATTCCGTCCGGCTCTGGCATCTGCAGCCAGGGAAGGAAGCCTGGTATTATGAGGGGGAATAAGAAGCTGAGGCCGCGACAATTGCTGCGACGGCGTAGGGCGCGTCTGAGCGTGGTCATTGTTGTTCCGGATAGGGTTCGACGGCCTGGCCTCGGTTTTAACAACATCCGTGGCAACAGGAGCAGCTTTGGAGCGGAGACGAATGCGATCCAGCTTGGCCTGGGACTCGCTCAATCTTTTCTCCGCCTCTTCGAGCTGTACAGAGAAATACCAACCGATCGTCCTTTTAAGATGAAAAGCGGCTCAAGCTAACCAACAAACAAAGAGATGCTTGAAATCGATTTACACAAAGGGCATTAACAGTATCAAAAACCTGGGATTTGTAATGGGCAAGCTTCTGCTTGAGAAGTTGGCACTCCTTGGTGCGATGTTCGATCAGGGCGACGAGGGCTTCCTCCTGCTCCTGCATAGACACGTTATCGTCGCGGCTCTTATTATAATTAGATGGCTTTCCTTCATTGTCGCCCTCGATGAGTTCGATCGGCTCGTCTTCCAGTTTAGGCTTCTTTAGCAGGCGTGACGAATCCATCATGTCTGCCCTCGTTAAGGATAGCGAAGACGAAGAAGAGACGGTGGTGCCTTCGCCAGAAAGAGCGAAGATGAAGAGTGGAGTCCGAGACGGGTTCTCGTCCTCCACCACGGTCGCCGTAGCCTCCTCTCACCGCCACTATTTACTCGGTTTTACTATATATATAGTGTCATGTAAGTTTGAAAATTCTCATTAGTCAAATTTATCTTCTTCTTTTTTTTTTTTCCCCTTAGACAGTAAAATCATTATTTTCTCACTCACTCGATAACTTTTGAATCATCGATTCAATAAGGGATAAATATTTGACCGATTCATAACTGGTTTAGTCTGATTAAAAATACTTGCACAATAGTTATGTCTCTGAGCTCGATATATTATAATGTACCGTTCAACTTCATGTTTTTTTTATTATCATTTTTCTTCTTCTTTGATTTTTTTTTTTCTCTTCTAACTCTTTTTACGTGTGTGGTGTTGCTCTTTCTTATTATGCATAGAATCACACAGAAAAGATAATTCATATAAGTAAATTGTTATCTTTATTTCTTTTTTTGTACACTTGATAGTTATTCCTTTGCCTTTTTATTTTTATTGGGTTCTCGCCATATAGTCACTTGAAACCATTGATAAATATATAATAATTTCATTGATATCAAGGATAACGATAATAAAAAATTAATATTAATTTTATTGAGTTTCGGATTTTGATGATGAATTTGTGATCTAATCAATATTTGAGAAAAGTAATGAAAAGACAAATGGACTGGGGTAGGAGAATCAGATATTGAACTGAAGTCAGGGATCAGGCATCGGGTCGTAAGGATCAAACATTGCGCCAATGTTGTGGGAGTCAATATACTAATGGATCGGACAATATATCAAAGCAAAGCATGACGCGCTAAGAGTTCGAATGAATCAATGACATACTAGATAATATATGATTCATGTTTTGTAATTGTTTGTATCTTGAATGAAGTAGTTTAGGTTTTAATTAAATTAGTTTTGATGAGGATAATAATTGCGATAAAACTCGCGTGACATCAGTTGTCCCAAATAATGCCTCACATCACTTGGTCAACGCAGATCGGAACGTTGACCGAGGCACATTAATACCCTGCTCAAGCTCGATCCCTCACGCCACGCCATCGTCAATGTCAGACGCTACCAGAAGTACGATCCTGCCCTCTACGGGCAAGCACATCAAACAACGGTAATCCTCATTATAAAAACCCTCGCGTTCCGAGAAGAAAAGGGGAGAGACAGACAAGAATACACAACTTAGCTAAAGAATCCCCCTGTCACTATCCGCTAATTTGATCGTCGGAGGGGTCGAGTCGAACTTCCCGACCCGACCTGTGTGCAGGTGCGAAGACGGTGGCCTCCCACTAAACGCCCAGGCGAAGAGTCCCCTCTCGGAGGAAACAGTGACTCCTTTCCGATCGGACCATCGTAGCCGGCCACCTCAGCGGACTCAAAGGTCGTCCCGGGAAGGTCCCCCATCATCCGGACCCGAACCATGCCGCGTCGACCCCGAGGCCACGGCTTAAAATTGGTTACACTACCATTTTAGCGCTAGAAGGAGGGCCCTGATGTCGAGGGATCACCCGATTGGCTCAAACGAGCCTGCGGCTGAGAGGTCACACCCGATTGGAGCTTCGGGGGAACATCCCCCGCACGGAGATCATCATGATGAACACCCCGCCACGACCTTATAGCAATATTGGCGGATATTCAACGACCCGGGCTTGTCGCCGCCCGACGGTGCCCCCGCCGACCCGTCGCCCATGTCGTCCGAGGCCTTTCACGACCTCACCCATCAAGTCCAAACTCTGATCGCTATGGTGCAATCCATTATTCCACTTGTTTCTCGTCCATTGTACCCGTCGGCCGTCCAACAACTGCGGTAACAAGAGCCACCCGTTCAGGCTCGCACGCCACCTCGGGAGCTCCCCACTTCGCTTCGGGTCCCATCGGCCCCACTTGGGGATCGAGTGACGGCAAACCCGAGAGGCCACCCGGAACCCGAGGCGTTGTCTATGGATTCTACGGACTCCCTACGAGCCCAGTTATGCTTCGTCAGCCAGCGACTCGACGAAGTGCAGAATGAGCTTCGCAGGTCCAAGGGAGAGCTCTGTGAGGACGCACACCAGGGATCTCCGTTCACACCCGAGATACGGGATCAGACAGTCCCCCCGAACTTCCGACTCCCCTCCCTGAACGCTTACGACGGCTCCACCGACCCAACGGACTATGTAGCCGCTTTCCGTGCCCAGATGGCATTGTATGGGACTTCTGATGCTCTGATGTGCAGGGCGTTTCCCACCACTCTGAGAGGGTCGGCCCGCACGTGGTACAGCGGCCTGAAGACCGGGACGATCACCTCCTTTGACCAGCTCGCCGAGGACTTTGAGCTTAACTTCTTTGCCTACGCCCGGCCAAAGCTATTCGTTGCACTGCTCATTGGACCCAACCAAAGGGAGGATGAGCCCCTCTCACATTTTGTGGATCGCTTTGCCACGCAAATCCGGGGTTTACTGGACGCTCATCCATCTCTGTTAATGCATGCGTTTATGATAGGCCTGCGACCCTCCAGATTTTCCTGGTCCCTCGCGGAGCGACCCCCCACCACGGTGCCAGAGATGCTCCAGCGGGCTAACCAGTACATCGCAGCGGAGGCCTGGGTGGCCGTGAGGAGAAGGGATGACTTTTGGCAGCGGGCTCCATAGAAGAGGTCAAGCACCTGCGGTGGCTATCTGATGTAGTCCTCGTGAAAAGAAATCTAGGCCCTGCCTTAGTCTCTTTCGAGCAAAGATTGCCCGAGTCCACGCCTGTGCGGCCTGTCCGCTTGAGCCATACTCCTCGACCGCAGCCCACCTGTGCCGTGCTCCTCGGCCGCGTGTTGATCGAGACCACGCCTGCGCGGCCTGCCCGCCTGCGATATGCTCCTCGACCGCATGTTGCCCGAGACCACGCCTACGCCGCTTGCCCGCCTGAGCCATACTCCTCGGCCGCAGCCCGCCTGCACCGTGCTCCTCGATCGCGTGTTGACCGAGACCACGCTTGCGCGGCCTACCCACCTGTGCCGTACTCCTCGGTCGCATGTTGCCTAAGGCCACGCCTATGCGACCAGCCCGCCTAAGCCATACCCCTCGGCCGCAGCCCGCTTGCGCCATGCTCCTCGGCCGCGTGTTGACCGAGACCACGCCTGCGCGACATGCCCGCCTGAGCCATACCCCTCGGCCGTAGCCCACCTACGTCGTGCTCCTCGGCCGCGTGTTGACCGAGACCGCGCCTGCGCGGCCTGCGTCGTGCTCCTCGGCCGCATGTTGCCCGAGACCACGCCTGCGCGGCCTGCCCGCCTGAGCCATACCCCTCGGTCGCAGCCCGCCTGCGCCGTGCTCCTCGATCGCGTGTTGACCGAGACCACGCTTGCGCGGCCTGCCCGCTTGAGCCATACCCCTCGGCCGCAGCCCGCCTGCGTTGTGCTCCTCGGCCGCGTGTTGACCGAGACCACACCTGCGCAGCCTGCCCGCCTGCGCCATGCTCCTCGGCCACATGTTGCCCGAGACCACGCCTGCGCGACCTGCCCGCTTGAGCCATACCCCTCGGCCGTATCCCACCTGCACCGTGCTCCTCGGCCACATGTTGACCGAGACCACGCCTGCGGGGCCTGCCCGCCTGAGTCGTGCTCCTCGGCTCCATGCTGCTCGAGACCACCACTTCTGTGCGGCCTGCTCGCCTGAGTCATGCTCATCGGCTCTATGCTACCTGAGACCACTCGCAGCCTGCCCGCTTGAGTCGTGCTCCTCGGCTCCATGTTGCCCGAGACCACCGCATCTGCGCGGCCTGCCCGCCTAAGTCGTGCTCCTTAGTTCCATGCTACTCGAGACCACAGCCTCTGCTCGGCTTGTTCGACTGGGTTGTGCTCCTCGGCTGCACGCTACCCGGGGTCACCACTGCGCACGCAACCCTCCTTACTTAACTCCACGATCCCCACACCCCTGGCAACAGACCGGCAAACGCCCAGCAGGGACAGTTTCTCAAAGTCGAAGCCATGCCTCGGACCCCCACTACAGCAACCGATGCATAGCTTCCTTCCGAGGGGGAATATGACGAGGATAATAATTGCGATAAGACTCACGTGACATCAGCTGTCCCAAATAACGCCTCACAGTACCTGGTCAACGCAGACCGAAACGCCGACCGAGGCACATTAATACCCTGCTCAAGCTCGATCCCTCACGCCATACCAACGTCGATGTCAGACGCTACCAAAAGTACGATCCTGCCCTCTCCGGGCAGACACATCAAACAACGGTAATCCTCACTATAAAAACCCTCGTGCTATGAGAAGAAAAGGGGAGAGACAGACAAGAAGACACAACTTAGCTAAAGAATCCCCCTGCCACTATCCGCTAACTTGATCGTCGGAGGGGTCGGGTTGAGCTTCCCGACCCGACCTGTGTGCAGATGCGAAGACGGTGGCCTCCCACTAAACGCCCAAGCGAAGAGCCCCCTCCTAGAGGAAATGACGACCCCTTTCCGATCAGACCATCGCAGTCGACCACCTCAGCGGACTCAAAGGTCATCCCGAGAAGATCCCCCATCATCCGGACCCAAACCAAGCCGCGTCGGCCCCGAGGCCACGGCTTAAAGTTGGTTACACTACCAAGTTTTAGGTGTAATGATGTCAACTCAATTAGAGGCTCATTGAGCCTGAATCAGGGTTGATTTAGGTCTATTATAAGATTCATTCAATGACCTACAATTGAGTCAAGCAGTGAAATTGCATATGAGTTGAAACGTACAAAATATACATTTCTGGAAGACCCGATCGTGGTACTGCTAGTGATCAGTGCTATAAGCGATGATACCACCCAACACTAATGGTAGTATCGCTAATACCTAAAAATTTGGGGATAAGACTTTTTTGCTCCATTTCTGAAGTCATTTGAGGCATATAGATATTCCACTCATTCTTACTTAGATAGCAAGAAAAGAACACTAAAAAGTTATGATTGTGTGAACTCTATTGAAAGTCTTAGAGTTCCTTCTTCTTCAATCAGCTAAGTCATTCTAAGAGAGTTGTGAGGACTACTTATAAAAAAGAATTGTAAATGTTCTCTCCTAAACTTGTGCGAATGAAAAAAAAAAAAATTGTAATAAAGGTGGTTGATCTTTCGCCCATTAAAAAAAAAATCATTAGTGAAAGTCGGTAGTCTCGACGAAGAAGGAATCAAGAATAGACGTAGATTGCGACAACTAAACCACTATAAATTGAGTGTGCATTTCTTTTGTGCTTTTCATTCTTATTGTTTATTGATTTAATTATTCACTACTTTTAATCACATTCTAAATTAAACATATTTATGATAGATCCTATGAATTTTAGAATATTTTTAACTTTTTAAAAATACTAATTCACCCCTTTTAATGTCTTTATGATCCTAACAAATTTATCATCAATTATAATATTATTTTTGATTAATCGGCCATAGTGGTTTTACATGTAATAAGGTGAAAAAAAATTCCCATTAATATGGAATCAACATGGTAATAGATATCTTAAAACAGTCATGATAATATAATATGAGTTGATGTGGCAACCCTTACTATCCAACATTAATTATAGGATGGAGATTATAAATCATACATCACTCGTTTGCACCTTGCAAAATAGCTGGTTAGATTCCCCGTAAAAAAGACAAACCTGCACAAAACATAATTAGAGCTATCAATTTGGTCATTCAAAAGCATTATACCAATCAACCAAATGAAATAAACTTAAAATTAAATTTTACATATTAGAGAGTTTCTTTATAGGAGAATGAATAACATTTTCATTAGCATGCAATTTTTGGGGCCCACGTATATATATATATATATATATATATATATATATATATATATATATATATATATATATATATATATAT